ATGCCCAAGGATTCCCCAGAAGAAATCTTCATGATTTCTCAGACGACCATAGCTTCCGATACAGCTACAGATGAACCGTCGACACATTCACAGCTGGGATCACTGCCTGCGACCTACGAAGACCACGCACCTCTTCACGTTGGTGTTGCTTCGTCGAGCCCTCCGAGGATCGCCGTGGCCCCTCAACATGACACAACCCCAAATATTCTCGAATCGGACTACTTACCATGGCCGGAAGACCCATCATACCCACATCCTCTATCATCGAATCCAGAGGAGGACCGCTCACCGCCGCTCAATCCGTATACTCTTCTCTCTCGCGCCTTGGATTTCGAAACACGAACATCAGCACTCAACGCCTCCGCCATGGTCCTACTCCTGAAGCCCCTCGTGCCCGAATCCGTCATCGATCCTCATCGCGCATCCTCCATCCTCCGGCAACACCACTCGCGCCTTACAGGAATGAAACTTTTCATCGAAGCCGCCCTCCTCCGTAAGCTCTGCATCAAGGGCTGGCCCGAAGGCATTCCAGACTGGAGCGAAAACTACACCTCCATCTTCGGTCCCGCCCAACAAGGCGTCAAGGGCGGCTTCATCTGCCCTAGCTGCCATAAGCCCCGAGAGCTGGACCCGTCTCTCGGCTCCAGGGCCCTGTGGAAATGCGACCGGTGCCGCACAACAATGGCCCCTTGCGCCGTGTGCGGCCACCGCGAGACCACAGCCACAATGCTCTCCCTTGCCGACGGCGTCTCCGCCGCCCAAACACCAACCGACCCTGTGATGAGTATATGGTGGTACTGTCCCGGCTGCGCCCACGGTGGTCACGCGACCTGTCTCCAGGACTGGCACGCGCCCTCGGACGACGGCAGCTACGAGCTCAGTGACGGGTGTTGTCCCCTCGATGGCTGCGGCCACGCGTGTCTTCCCGGCAAATGGCGGGATGAGAAGTCGACGACGCGCTCAGACGAGCTTGGTCGTGCGGCTGTCGAGAAAGTACGCATCGGCGGGGGCGGCTTGGGCGGCGGTGTCGGTGGCGGTGGTAAAACCGAAGGCGGACGGAGTCCTGTGATTCCGCCCAATGTCCGCGGTGATAGCGTCGAAGTGCCGCAGAGTCGTGCGGTAGAGAGCGTCCGCGAGGCGTTGGCGAACGGTACCCCTACGTCAGGTATACTCAGTTCGAGTCCGGGGAGCAGGACTGGACCCGGGGAGCGCGAAAGGAGGAAGAGCGTCAAGTTTGTGCCGACGGAGCGTTAGTGGCAGCTCGGTCGTCTGTGGCGGTCTCTGTAGTCGCTACGACGGAAGAATAGTGTCGGGTTGTGTTAGATGATGTTACTTGGCGTTGTTGGGTGGGAGCATGTGGGTATTTCTGCGCATGTTCTTTACGGTGTTGCTATATGAACTCTTTTTTCACTTGGTGCATGGGGGTATGGAGACGATTCCCACAGAATATTGTTCGATACGATTGATTCCAGCATTAGCAATTCTCATTATGGCGGCGATAAATCGCCGGGGTATCTCAAATAATGAAACCACGTAATTCGACCAACTTTGAACCATCCTGAATATTTTCAGGCGACAGCAATCATCAGTTCCCAGCGTTTTCTCTCATGCCCTTGGTTCTCAGCGACACTTTGAACTCGTCGAATGGGAGGCCCGCAGATCCACCATTCTCGTGAGTGAAGTTGTAGTCGACGGGGGAGTTCGCCCCATCGCGAACGGTCATGGCCTTCCGAAGCTCGTCGCGCTGCCGGCTGAGCACCTCGCTGTCGGTACTACCACGGCGACTGCCGCCCACGCTGCTCGAGTCTCCATCGCCAACGCCTGCCACCGACGAAGGGATACGACCTTTGAACCGTCCTGCCCATAAACCACGGACGCCACCACGCTTACGCTCAGGAACCTCTTCGGTACCAGCGCTGCACACGTACAAGAGATACTTGAGGTTGGGCAGCGTATGACGGATGTCGACGACTTTCAGTCCTTGGCTTGCGCAAAGGGCCTCGATGTTTTTGTTGAGAATGAACCAGCCGTAGTCGAAGCGATACTGGGCCGCGGTCGAGCCACCTCGCGGGAGGTATAGGGGGAAATCGCGCTGTCGAGCCGCCTGCACGGAATTCAAGTCGGTGAGCAGAGATATATCGTCGCGAATATGGGATCGCGAGCCGAAAGGGGTGGTGGGATATGGTAGCGGTACAGAAAGGTAGTATTGCAGCGCATTCGTCAGAGCAGCAACATGTCCCAGAGCTGCGGAGAGAAGGTCGTCGTCAGGGCCGCGTGAGGTGGCGCTGTCGTAGCTTGTATTTGGAAGGGGCAGACCCGCGATTTGGAAAGAGAGGGGAGCACCACTGGGACAGGGCGTGATCTGGTAGATATTGCCGAGGTCTGCGCAAATGCGGCGTCGTTGACCGCGAATCGACTCCTTGGTTTTGGCAAGAACTTCTTTAGATGCCGATAGGTGCTCTGTAGCGTCGACAATATCCTTTGCCAGCTTGTCTTGGAGGGCGCGGCCTTGGGCAATGGCCTCTCGACGCGACTTGAGAGACTCGCGTAGCTCCTCTCGCCGCTTTTCGGCTGCCTTCAAAGACCGCAACTCTTGCGCCACATATTTGTTGGCCAGCTTTACCTTCTCCTCAGCGGCTGGTGTCTCGTTGTGCGCGGTTTCATCGAGGATGTCGTTGATTTGGGATGTGAGCTGCTCCTGTGTCGCAATGGCGTCCTGGATCGAGTTATCCAGTGTCGCGAGCTTCATGAGAGCGTTGTAAGAAGATGTATGGAGGGGTGGCAGCTCCTTCGGGTGCGTGGGCTTGGCCGGGACATCGAGCGAGTATATACCATCAGCAAGGTGGAAGATGAGGCCGTTGGGCGGGAATTTGCGGTTTTGAAGGCTACCGATGAAATGAAGACTTCGCAGATCGATTGTATCTTGGAGCAGGAGAGTCCATGCTGTTCGTTTCGCCCAGATCTTGATCGTCATCACCGGGGAGCGAGTGACAGAGGGGCCGTGGTGGTTGAGGTCGAAGAATTGAAAGTTGAAGTTCTGTTGGTCGCCTTGTTAGTCCAGCTGCGGGACACGTGGATTGGAATGTGACATACCGTCGCATGCTCCTGCATTTCGCTGATATAGACTGGCTCATCCTCGTCTTCGCAATGCAATGAGAAGAAGACATCAGCGGCTCTACCGTCGATGGTCAACTGCAGCATGCGCTGTCTCGTTATTGGCGTAGCTTGGGCCAGAGCAGTGCTGCGGCGGCGCGGCGCTTTGGGTCGCAGATTGTCGCTGGAGAGAGCATGCTGGAGCTGAGGGGTGTCGCGAAGGGATTCGAGCTTGGAAGGTGTCTTGTTCAAAGCAGTGTCGTCAATGGTGTGGCCTCGAGGGCGAATGAAGCTCAGGTTTTGGAGGTAGATGCCTCGAAGATGACGCAGCTTGCGGTTTTGAGGAATAAGGAGGGGGCGGGACTCGGGGGGAGGCATCTTGACTTGCAGGTCAATTCATGGCCAGTGGGGAGATTTGCGTCAAAGATTCATGAGACCGGGTGTCGGTGTCGTAGCTCTGGATTATGTTTTGGCAAGGATGTGGTGTGAAGAGCCGCACGCCCAGGTTTGTCAAAGAAAGGATCGTGATGTCGGGGTGGTGATGGTCCAGTCGTCGGGTGCGGGCAAAGCTTCCAGGTTGCCCGTCCACGTTGCTCCTGTCACTGCTGCTGCTGCTGCTGCTGACGGAAGGTACGTCCCTAAAAGCACGGTGCCGTTACTGCAGGAAGGAACGGCCTCGGGGAGCTCCTTCCAGGCTGCTCATGGAAATTAGCCCCACCATCGTCATAGCCGCTTAGATGCATTTACTGCTTATATCTCAAATCGGATACATGAGTACCTTCATGCATACATATCTTATATGCATTTCCTCCATTGATGCATCTGAGATGGACATTGTGGAACTTCCATTGACAACAATCCATCTGTTTCTTTACTTCATTCATATGTCCATTCTGACACATCTTCAAATTCTTCCAAAGCTTCAATATGTTCGACATGTCTTCAATCACAATCGAAGGAGGGAATCCCCTCGACAGACCCATCGATTGACCAAAGCTTGCGTTACTTGCAGCAACACCCACGCGACAGTGCTGTTCTCGGCTACGCATGCCCCTCTCTGATTCCCAGCTGTCTGTCACTCAAGGTTGGAGAGAAACAAGATCGATTAAGTCTCCGGTCACACGCGGATACGCCCGTCGTATCGAGATTTCCTCCCCCGGTAGAACCGGCATCGCGGCTTGTCCCTGACGGCGAACTACAAAGAGACTCCACATCCGACCGCCACGCCCTCGCCGAAACCTTAAATCGCTGCCAAAAAAAATGCCCGAGCTTGGCCGTTTGTGGGATCCTTGGATTTCCCCGTCATCGTCGGCACATCAGCTTCGAGCAAAGGAACATTGAGTCGTACGTCATCGGAGAAAGCTTTTTAGCATAGCCACGGCGGCCCACCTAGTATGTACACTAGCGATAGGAGACGGGCGCCTTGGGCTTGATTTTAGATGCCAAGTGTGGCAGCTTCAGCTCCCCTCATGGATCTGACACTTTGGTTCGCCCATCCGTCTCACCATTGCGCCCGAGATTCATAGATGAACCACCTTCTATGGCCTTCTCCATCCCGTCTTTGGTTTATGTACTTCAGGGCACTGTGGGATACCGCCCATAGATTGTCTCGCTGAGTAACTCTGGAAAACTTTGCCGTACGTCAGCGAACATACGAGAAATCCGCGGAATACATTTCCTCAACCTCTTCCCAGTTGGTGAAGCTTGATATTAATATACGAAACCTGAGAATCTGCCGGCCCTGCTCATTTCCTTCAAGCCAGTTCCTCACATACCTTATGGAAATCCCACCAGAGCCGCGGCACATCCTTGTCCTCAGTAGAGGCCACGACGATGCTATCATTGTCAACTTACTCAAACACAAAGGGTGTCTCACCCCAGTGTACACAGTCAGTCATAACACGAAAATGACCAAAATGGAAATCCGGCAAGTAGACTGTAACACCATCTCCGCAAAACACCGCCCCATCGCCGCTGTCAAACTCCGCATACTACCCCCGAGGGTAGACGCTACCGTCCGAGGTGTCAAGTTCAAGATGGCACGCAAGCACCCCTTGTCTAGCACTCTCAGCTTCCGCTTCTTGGGCGCGGGCGAGATGCGGTGGGATGATCTGGGCAAGCATGGCCAAGGCATGAAGCTCGTCGATTTCAACGGCAAAACTCTAGCTTTTTTCCGTCCGAGGCTGCACGTGGTGAATGCTGGCCCTAGAGGAGAAGAAGAGGTAGAACACAGTTCGAGAGGGGGTGGAGAATACGGGAGCCGACCTGCACCTGCAAGTCATACAAACACGATGAGCAAGGCCGGGTGGGGGCCCGGGTTCGAGCTGCATGCCGCTCTCGCAGATCTCGACCTCGATCTGGTGGTCACCACTGGCTTGGCAGCGGCAGAATATCGTCGGCAGTTGGATGAGGACTGGGACTTGGTTGCGGAGGAGGAGGAGGCGGAGACACGAGAGATGAAGGAGCTGGACAAAGCGCGCAATGGCTGATCTGCTCATTACTCGTTCCATTATACACACATTCCAAGTTTGATCGTGTTCTATACCCTTGCTGAAACAAAATGGTATTCTGGGTATTGGTATTCCGCCGCTCCCAAATCAAGTTTCCAAGTTCGCCGTCGCTTGAATGCCAATGTAATACAAAAAAAGCTTATCCATAACACTGGATGCTCTGCAACTCTCTCTTCCTATCTGCCTCCCTGGCGGCTAATTAGAACCTTCCATTTTCGTTCTTCTGCCACTTCTTGCTAGACTTGACATTTTGCAGCTCAAAATTGGCTACGTTGACCTTGACATCCTTGGTGATGAGGACTTGACGCTTCCCGTCGGCCTTTGCCGCCATCTCGTCCGCTAGATCGATTGGGGTGAGTGGCAGTTCTGAAGCCATGGACGGCGTCTCGGGAATTTCGTGGAATTTGTCTTTTCCGATGTTGAGCATAGAGCGTCTCGAGTTCACCGTCCCCAAGCTTTTGTCTTTGGTGTTGGTCTTGTTGCTGGAGAAGAGCTGCGGGACCTTCTGAAGCAAGGGCCGCAGTGCTGGCAGACTTGCGCAGAGAATTGCGCAGAATTCCTCGATAATGGACCATATGACGATGTCGACGTTGTCCCAAGTAGTGTCGAAAGTGCTCGAGAACCTAATGAGATATTTCAAACGGACCATAGTTGTGATGCACGCACTGTAAACTGTGTTAGTCACAGCCGTCGATGATGGTAGGCCATTGAGGCTTTGTAGTTACTCACAAAGACCCGAGGCTGAACATGAAGCCCAGCGCAATTTTCTTCCTGATATTGAGCTGCAGTTTGACCAATTCAGGAATGGGCAGAACCAAGATCACCAAGTCTTCCACAATACTGAAGACCGCTCCAGCGTATCCGATGGCGGTAACGTTGAGACACGTCCGGTTTGGGTTGCTTCTGTCCCAGACCGAAGAGACTGGCGTACATTGGAATATGATGACCAGGAGGAAGATCAGCCCGTGGAGCAGCAAAAACATGATGAAGTAGCGGACGGTGAGCTGGAACCACTTTGCGGGGAAGATTCGGGAGAAGAACAACAGGATCGATATCTTGGCGAAGACTTGAATCATGATGTAGAGTTGCTGAACGGCGTAGAAAAGCTTGAGCAGCTTCGTTCCGGCGTCGAGCTCGATGTTCCAGTAGTGTGTTCCGAATCCCAGGTCGGCACTCGCAATTTCGATACCAGCCAAGCCGGCTAGCAACATCTAGTTCTTCGTCAGCTTTCGCCTTTGGTGTTGCCCAGGATTTTACTCACCGTCGCGAAGATGGCTGTCCAGTCATCCCACCACAACTTGTTGGTGATTTTCCATCGTGATATGCACCGCAGCGCAACGACGGGAAATGTGATGACTGACAGGACGATGGCGATAGTCTTGACCTCATTACTCCTAGACTCTTTGGGGTACGCATCGCAAAGACTTGTCTCGAGCTTCGCGGCGCCTGGCAACTATTAGTCTGAGGAACATTGCGTAGATACGTGCATAAAACCTACGAGCTTGATCTTCGAGATGACATTTAAGTTGCACACACGTCGACAGGTCTGACTGCAATTTGATATTGGGACAGAGACATTCGGTCACAGTCGCGATCGATGTCAAGCTGCAGTTGCCATCTTGAAGACCTTGCGTAATGCATGGAAGCTATCGCAAACAAACATGACTAGTCAGCCCTACTGTGCTCCATTCGGATCGGAGAATATTTGACAAGGCCCCATGACGGGAATGCAAGGGCATGCAAGTACAAAAAGCAACAACAGAATCAAGCAAAGAACAGGAAGGAACTTGACGTTGGGGTAGTCGACTTACTGCGCAATTAGGGATTTGTGTAAGCAGACCGGCGACGCTCTGTGCCTCGACTACCGAAGCAATACACCAAAGCAGGAGGAGTAATAGCGAGCGCCCGCCATACCGCCTCGGATATGTGGTCATCTCCTAGATACCCTGGGGGAAATCATGAACGGAAACAAGTAATTAAACCCAGGGAAAAGCCAGCAGCAAAATGGAAGAAGCGAAGGGGGAAGAAGAAGAGCATTTCCATCCTCTAGGATGTTTGTGCGACCCGTCCGTCTTCTTTAATATGAAGCAGGCCCTTTATCCGACCTGCCTTCTACAAGAGAAAGAGACTGGAACGAATTAAGAAGGCTACGCAGTGGGCAGCATTGGACCCCTCCCCTCTCCCACTCACACTTCCTTGAATCCCACCCGGTGGCCAAGACCTCTATCGCGCGAGTGCGCGAGCCCATCTTTCACCATGGCCAACCCACCACACACCCACTACACCCACAGATACCTGCGCTTGTCTCTGCGTCGACGCGGCAGACTTCCGGGCGAAAAGAGCAAAAGCGGGCTAGTCCACCGAGGGGTCAGAACTGCTGCCCGCTGCAGGAAGGAGAAAAAACGAAGGTACGTGAAGCCTGGTGCAAGGGGAACCCACATGGCGGGTGGGCTTTTCCTGACACACGCTTCTGCATGAACCCTGGCCGACGATAGTTTGGACCAGAAGAAGGACTGTCAATGCGTCTAGAAACACTCTAAGTCGTTTAGTAGAGCGGTACAATGGTAGTGGCTGTGTGGGCCACCGCCGAACGCCCTCCCGTGCTTCTTACTATTGTGTAACTTGTGTTATTGTCGTGCTCACAAGATCTACCATACCCTCCTGGATCAGCTAGACCTTCTTGTTGAAGAAAGAATAAGCAGCGAATACAATACCTAGAATGGCTGGAAGCTAAGCCGAAAGGGCTTCGTACGGCCGAGTTGGTAGGGTCGCGTTGGGGGCGATGAATCGGGAAGACCTCCCCGATGAAAGGACCACTCTTTAGGAGCTTTATCACATTTTAGGCCCTGTCAGTGCGGGGATGGGAAACTTGCGATCAGCGACATGCCAAAAGGGGGTCCCTCGCCTATGACGCCCCCCCACCACCCTTTGGCCATTTTCGTTCGAGATATGAGCAGACACAGAAAGACAGACAGTACAGACGTGAGAGGGAGGGTGAGAGACAGCGAGTTCCAGCCACAGAGATATTCAGACGCTACCTGTCGGCGAATCTGATGCCGCTCGGGCGCCTCAGGGGCAGCTCGTTGCTCACTGGCTGCGTCCACACCTTTGGACGGACACTAAGTCGTTTACCATGTCGGGTAGCGGAGCGGATAAAGGCAGGCTAAATCCTCTGAAGAGGTCTGACCGGACGTCGAATTATCAACCTGTCCAATGACTCGCGACGGGGGGTAAATTAGGCAAAGTCATGACTTCACTTTGTGTTTTGTGATGTTGCTTAGAAGAGAATGCGAGTGAGGCCGGCACAGCCCGACTGACCAAGTTGAATCAACAGAAGATGGTGTCGGCAGTTCCCAAATGAGCACAAAGATGCAGTAAGACAGCATCCATTCCATACAGATTCAATGTCTCAAGGTATGTTATAAGCGAGGCCAAAGGTTTTCTACCTTTCCACTTGCGTTCAGCTTCCTTTCTAGAACCCTTAAACGTAGATTCCAAGCGAATTCTAGCGTCACGGCGCGCAGGATTTGTTCACTTTGATTCCTAATTTGCAGATTTTACCCCCTTTAAATAACTTGGGAATGAACATATCAAACCATGGCCGAACTCTGTTCCCATGGTCGCCGGCGCTATACAGGCGCTAACTCCGCAGAAGCAACATCTCCCCGGCGCTTGGGTCAGGCAACACCTTGGCCGTCAGTGCCGGGGGATCCTCGTTCTGATGGGAACGACTTTCTTGCGTGGTTCCTTCTTCTCGATTTGCCCTCTTTAAACCCGCGCGCTAGAACGGGAGAGGTGGTGGTGGCGGACGGGCGCGGGCAACAACTGCAGCCGAAGTTGATGTGACCTTTTTAGAGATTTTGAGTTTCGATTCGGATCGTGTTGATTCGAAGTGGCAGCACTTTTCTGAGTCGTCCTTGGATGCTGCCTGACTGCGTCGCCGCTGCACGTCATGATTTGAAGTTCGGATACCAGGTTGATGGCTCTTCGGAGTTGCGCTTTCGATGGGGCTGAGATAGACGCGGGCCCTAGTCTCTTGTCCCGTGTGTTCCCCTTGTTGCTTGATGTGGTGTTCGTGCCATCGTCTGGCCCTGCTGCCCACGGCGTAGATGGAATGATGCAGGGACGTGGCCCGGGGTGGGGAGTTGAGGTTGGTAGTTTCAGAAAACCCCAGGAAAAGCACTTGGTACGACCGTATGGATAGCTTTCGCCTCTGTCACTTGATCAATGGTGCAAGCCTAGGCTCTTTTGGATCAGCCTAAATGTCGGTTTTTCGAAGTATTCGTATTTACTAGTCACTTCCCTGCTAGATCGTGGTGGATCTCAATCGGAGGCTCGGTTTCCTGGTATGGGGCGGAATTTCTTCCGGTTTTACGTGTACAGCATTACATTACAGGCAGCATTGTGAGAGATCTGTCTCGAACTAATGTTAGTATGATGCGTAGTATACAGGAACCTGGATAGTGAGTTGACATTAGCACATTATTCTAATTACTCCTCGTATGTTCTGGGTTATGGGGACAAAATATCTTGATCTAACTGATAGTGAAAGCTTTCAAGCCCCGACTTCCGAGCTTGTTTCCGTGGAAAATGCCACGGATATCTGTGCAGCTCAAGATCCCCGTTGCCGCGTACCTAGTCCGTCTGTCAAATCATCCCAGACAGCTTGAAACGGGGCCCGCGGATCCGCAGTCCAGCAGAGTCAGTTGCAAGCGCACCATAGCTGTCAGCCCTTCTCCCGGCTCTGGTCCGCATCGACCACCGGATGGTTCGACCACGAGCAAACGGGACAGGCATGAGACCATGTCGGCATGAGTCCAGACCACACCCGGATCTTTGCTGTCCCCACGGGAGCCAGCAGAAGCTTCGAAGATCACCCCATGGCAGGTGCTTGGGTTTCAAAAGCTTTGGCCCGTATAGTCGTGGACGGACGACTTCAAGACCCAGCCCCGGGGATATAAGGCGGAGAGTTGACTGCCTACGTACTCTTGATTACCAGCGGCCGCAGGTTGCGGATGGAATCCCCATTGGTTACCACGACACCCACCCAATCAGATACGATATGGTATGGGCACCGGCGTTGCTCCGGTGCCGGGACCATCACCGGCTGACTGGTTGACGGGCGTGCGCGTCGATATGGGAGAACTTTGGTGAGGTTTCCCCCCCATTGCAGTTCGGCAGTTGATAACTCGCTTGTATCGGGTGGATTACAGATACTGCACGGCCTTGATCACATACCACTTACCGACTCAAGTTACTGTACGATGACACTTGTGATACTCGATCAATAGATCCATGATGAGGGTTGTCTTGTTTTATACCAAGTCCGTTCGCAACCGTCTTTTATCCGTTCACCAATCTGGATATATCCGTACGTCTTGTCTATGTGGGAATCTCTCAAACTCGTTCGCTGAATAAGTCGAAACCGTAACAAACGAAAGTGACGCATAGTAACAGAAGAAACTTTCTACAACGCAATCCCAAGAACCTGATCCGCCTTAGTAGACTGAGGTGTCCTGTCCCAGCAGCGCCCATATTCTTGCTGCTCCAGTCTGAGCCAGTGGAACTCTGGCTTGAAGTCCGGGTTAACGGTCCTTTCGAGTGGTTGATCCTTCCACGGTGTCGCCATCGGTCTTATGACTCGCGGTGCCACGGCGCGGCTGAAAGTCGGCTTTTCAGCAAACAAAGTATACCGCAACGACTTGCTTCTTTCCTTTCGAGGCGTTGGCGGCTTGTTGCGGGAACACTTGGCGAAGAGAGGAATAATCGGAGGTATTGACATGCAGACGATGCCGATGGTGCACTCTGCGATGGAACAGAGCACCCAAGAGACCCAGTTGTCTGTGACAGTAGAGGTTAATGTCTGGGCTCTTTCTGTTTTGGGAGGTAAGGAAAGCTTACAAGTCACGTCAGAATCGCTGAGAGGCTCTAGGTTGACAAGCTTGAGGATCGCCGCAGCACATGAGCTAAGACTTTTATTAGTTTAAACGTTCTCCTCCGTCCAACACCATCCCCGTCAAAAACTCACAGTCCAGAGAAGGAAAAGAGGATCGTGAGCAGAACTTTTCTGCCCGTTGTCATCTTCATGTTCCAAATGTATGGCAGCGGCACGGTGCATAGCAACATGTCGATTGCAATATTCAAGGCCGCGCTGGCATGGAGAAAGTCGATGAAAGGGTAGCAAGTAGCGCTGCCGGTTGACGAGTCCCATGCCGCCGTGATGGGCTTGCATTGGAAGATGACGGCAAAGACGGATGCCAAGCCAAATCCTCCAGTGATGACCGCCGCACCGTACATGATCCAGCGAGCGCTTTTATGTGTTATGAGTCTGAGAAAAGAGCCGATGGCCGAGAGACGAGTGAACGCAATTGCGCAAGGGTATAAAGTATTAGCAATGAAAATGAGCTACCTGGCCGGTCAGTCATACTCTTCGGCAAAGATTGTCTCTCTCGTACGTCCGCTGCGCAGTTCATACCTGGAGTAAGCTCTTAGTGTTATCAGGAAGAAATTCAGGATCGAGATTCCAGGAGTGCTGACCAAGTCCAAGGTCGGTCGCTGGCATATTCGTAAGTGACAGGCTTATGATGTTATCTCTGACGGATCAAGGTCATACCGATAGGAAGCAGCGCACATACTGCAAAAGTGAAGAGAGCAGCAATGATAACAAGTACATCATCGCTGAAGAAATTGCGTGTTACAGTGCAGCGAACGATGATTCGCAAAGGCACTATGATTCCGACGAGAACAAAAGCCGTAAGGTTGACCGCCCAAACCACCGTCACCAGACTCCTCTTATCACCAGTGTCACCTCCCATTCTGACAACCTGCAGATCTGACCCGTTGGCGAGTTCGCTATTCATATTTGGCGTATAAAATTGGAAAAGGCATATAAGTGTTATCGATTAATCATGTCGACACTCAATGTCGACAGCAAAGAACTAAACAGTGAAAAGCGCCAGGCGCGAAGAAGAATAAATTCTTGCGGGAATAGAGACAATCGAACATCATCACGAAAGCGCGTCGCGTGGCGGGAGGCCATTGACTTTTCTACACAGACTCGAACGTATTCTATGCCCATGCATCACGGGCGTTGTCATGAGCATCGACAAGCCACCGTGGTTTCACGAGTGACGTTTTGCGCCTCCTCCCCTTCGGCGCCACGCGAAAGACCAGCAGATCGAAGAGAGACCTCACCGAGTGCCGCGTCAACGGGCGGGAGCTAGCAGCGACTTCCAAGACACTACAGTGTGCAACGTCTTCATAAATGGCTTGAGAGTGTACGTGCAGACTCGTGTTTATGGAGCGCGATATGCTATGGCCCTTCGGCCTTTGTGCGAGAAGAGAAAATCTTGACAATGAGTACCTTACGGATACACGTAAACAACATCTTTCCCATCTTGTAGATCATTTCGCACCTTCAACTTTACATCGTCGATTCAGTCTCCGACTGAAAATACGACGAAGAGGATTCCTATTTGGAACATGAAAAGAAGATTATGGCACAGCTTATCTCGGCGCCAGTCGACAAGAGACCGCCACAAGACCGCCTTCTCCGAATTCTTCAAGAGGAACCACTGGCAGAACAAAATTAGCAATCCCAAATTAGACCGACATAGCTCACCATTTTCAACTTAGTGCCTCGGACTGGAAGCAGACTAAGTCTCTGCGCACTGACACCTGGAAGAACAATTCTGCCTTTGCCGACTCACCTGACGGGGCCGGACCGTATCGATGTGTTATCACGGCAGTCTCAACACGTGGTTTACAGGCATCTGTGAGCAGTAGGACATTGGGCTGGGAAAATGTGAACATTGGGATCATCGTGGCATATTGTGATGGCCCAGGCACTAAACATGCATCCTGCTGTGAGGTTGCGGTTATGGCGGGAGATCGTCCTTGGTGAAACATCATGTAATTATTACTGGAAGCTGCGCAACGTCATCAATTCTTTTCCAAGCTCTCGTGATGGTCTCAAACGATCCTGAACATCATTTCTGAAGAGTTGGTGTGCGTGTCGATGGCTTTTAAGATGAGTTTAACCAGCCGACACCTCTTTGGATAAAGCTATCCCATGAACCTGAAAACAGGCCTTGCATAAATGGTATTCCTCCTGAGGGTTCCGAATGAATGAATTGGTCCACTGTCGACCTCTGTTGATTGATCGTGTGTATCTGGATAAGGGCGGATGAAACGTTCGTATGGAGGCTTGGGCAATTACCATCCGCCACCATTTGATCGCCTCGTTGCGCCTACCATTCTTGAAGGGGTGCGAGGCCGAGCGTCGCCAAGTACTTGTTCGCCTCGACTGTGGTGTGCTCCCACATACCCTTCACCTGCTTCTCGTCCTTGGCGACTGGATTTGGAGTCACGATCTTGCCAAACGGCTCCAGGTACTTACCCTTGTACTTATCTGCGTTCTCGCGAACCTCAGCGGCAGTGGCCGCAAAGACCGATGTGATGGCGCCCTGGTCGACCGTGAGGAAGGCCGCCGATCTAACGAGCGAGAAGATGGAGTTTCCAATGTCCTTGCTACCAGGACTGGCAACGCCACCTGGATGCACCGAGATGGATAGAATCGGGAGACCTTGCTCATCCAGAAGTCGCTGCAGCTCCTGAGCGAAAAGGAGATTGGCGACCTTAGAGACAGCGTACCGAATCATGTCGACTACGAAAATACGGCTAACGATATAGCGCCATTGCCACGGATAATAAGGTACAGGTTTCGTCAAGAAAGAAGCGGAATCAAAGGTAAATCCGTAGTTCGATGGCAGCATGGCATAGTTGACGTTGGAGCTGAGGGTGATGATACGGACGTCGGCCCCAGGTTGTTTTGTGGCTTCCTTGAGTAGCGGCAGTACGCCGTTGGTGAAGACAAAGTGTCCTACGTGGCTAGTTGCATGGAATATTAACAAACATGCCCACGTGGTTTTGAGGTGTACTTACTTAACCCCCATGTGCCATTCCCACCCAGGACCCATCGTCTCCGTCGTGCTGGAGGCTAGACCGGCATTGTTTACTTTGAGGCGTATCACATCAGCATAATTCTGCCTTCAACTCTAAATAACATAACGGCGACTCACTAAGGATATCCACCCTGGTCTCCTTGCTCTTCAGCTCTTCGACAGCGGAGGCGACTGACTTGAGGTCTGCCAAGTCCAAGGGAAGCCAATGGAGGTTGGCGGCGTTTATCGCAGGGGTTTCGGCCGTCAGCACTGTGCGAGTCTCCTCGGCTTTGGCCTTTGATCTTGCTGTGAAGTAGACCTTGGCACCTCGAAGGGCGAGGTACTTGACGGTTGACAAGCCAATGCCTGCACTGCGGGTGTGTCAAAAAAGAGATGCTTACTTTCTTCGGTTGGGTCCACAACATACTTCCCGCCGGTGACAACAACCACTTTACCCTCGAGATTGGGCGTATCAGTGAGAGGGTCCCACTTTCCAGGCATCTTGAGCTGCTCGTTTCTCTTCAACTTACGCAGTGTTGCAATGCAGGGATTGTGTGATCGAATTACTTTCTCTCGATCAGGTTCTCTGTGCGTTGTTTTCTCCTGTCTTCGTCGTTGTACTTATTATCTTCAGCGCGAAGGATTCATCGATCTGGCGTGCCGCGTCACTGTATCCTTGCCAGGCACAATCAGGCCAACATCTCCCTTCTCGGACACTTATCAAGAATTGCTCATGTAATCAACCCGTAGACCGGTGCCGAGCCCGACGGGAGCGGAGACGACTGGGGGTTCGGATGGAGCCGCTGCCCCTTGAGTCTCGTCCGATTCGGGACAATGCTGACCTTGGCATTCTCCACCACTGTTGGGACGGTTGGATAATTTGAGATTCCGATTCGTGGAGAGTCTGGACGCTATCCCCCGGTTGCTCTTTGTTGACGGGATGGGCTCGAAGAGATGAGGCACATGATTGGTCAAGTTCCACATCATGGCCAGGACCAACCTGTAACCAACAAGCAAAGTGAGTTGAAGCTGTCTATTCGTTCAAAGACCGCACGCGGTGGAGGGAGGAGGCGGCGGAAGAAGATGAGGAGGGGGGCCGGAGACGAAGCCCAACGTCGACAACAGAGTCAGCTTTCTTGCGTTCTCCAGACATCCTCCTCTTTCGATTCTGCCACACACCCTTCACGTCAGTCAGGATTTCACTCCTCTCATCTCGTGCACCAGAAACCCTTGTGTGACCCGAGCGTTTGCTGGAATAGGCAAATGCCAACCTTGTCCCCAGATCATCACGGACGTCTCCCGAGCCACTGAGGCTCGCTCAATTCGCCCATCTCGTACCTCTTGTCCCGGCCCTACGGTTCAGTTCGATTAGCGGGTTCCTCTCGCTGCCTTGCGATTCGGTAACGAAGGCCCTTGACTCCATTTTCGAGGTGAACCGGGAAGGGGTACGAAGGCTACGCCATCCGGAGCTCGTTCAACGTCCAGCCCTTACTCGTTCGCATCTCGACGACAGTGGTCCACGGCTTCGCCCGCGATGCCGCCCGCGAGCAAGGGCGGCGGCAGGAGCCGGGAGGAAGGGTTCCTTTTTGTACCCATCACCCATCCAAGCGAGACCAAGGCCTGGAAGAAAAAGGTCAGATCACACGCCGCGCGAAATCCAAAGGCCCGTCAGCAGCGGGTAGCCGCCTATCAGAAGTCAACCACACCTCCTGAGCAAAGCCTAATCGAAGATTCCCCGGCTCGCCCATCGATTCAATCCGTGAGGTTGTGGCTTGTCACGACCCTGAAGAACGGCTCGCGTTCTGGCCACACCCCCCTTCTCGCCGGCAGCCCCATTTCAATGCTCGGCGCCGCTAGAACGGATCCATTCAATGCCTTCGTCAGGAGGGTCACTATCCAGGAGCAAGGACTTCTTGATCACTGTGAGTATGCGACCCGAAAGCCTGATTGATCCTGTACATCGGCCTGTAGAGGTTGCGGGCCGCGATTGCAGTCCACCTTCCAAGTATAAAAGGGCGGGCTGCGGCATTGAGGGACCTCTGCCTCTTCCCTCCCGCTCTTACCGTTGCTTGTATGCTCAGACTGCAGCTCGCACCTTGGAAAGAGCGTCATGTTTTGCTTGATCGGGCCAAGGCCAAAAGCTAACTATATCTGTATGCAGTCCTGCGCAGCATGGCGTTACTAGAGTTGATCCGTTTGCCAGAGATGGAAGTGATGGTGCAAGGTGAACGAACGGCATTCTGCAAGATGATGACGACCTACTGGGTGCAATCAGCCCTCGCCGATCCGGGAATGCTTTCTCTGGTACTTCTCTGGTCCATGAGACACCTTGCTACTGTACGAGAGGAGGGCTACAGTGACCCTGTGATGACGATGTATAAGATGGAGACGATACGCCAGCTTAACGCAACAATCACCAGAGAGGGAAACAACATCAGTAATCTCACCATGGCCAAGAGCCTTTGCTTGGCATCAGACGCTGTAAGAGATCCCCATATCCCCAAGGGTGCAAGATCACATGCCTAGGATGAAGTGAGTACGAACATGAGGTGCTAACGTAAGTCATTCAAGAATCTGGTAGGAGAACCTGAAGTAGCTGAAAAACATTTGAAAGCCGTCGAACGCATGGCTCTATTATGTACCGGCGGGACAAAATCGGCTCAGGGAGAGGGAGATGAGTCGCTCAACGATCTGCAAATGTTCTTCAGCGAGAACGATCAGTCCCCGGCACACATGGCACAGGTCAATCTTAGCTTCAAATCAGAAGAATCGGAAAGAGCTGGGGGGGTAAACCGGAACATGGACTATGTGATACGTCCGACGAGAACTCCGACGAGAGCTGGCTAAATTACTAATGTCAAGAACAACATCATGATACTTCAGTGCTTGATGCTAATGACCTTATGGATGCTTTTCTGTCTCATTCAAACAATGCTCATACACGCCCCAGCGTGGAACCAATATGGCAGTAAACAGGCTAGTTACATATGTGCGCATGACTTATGAACCCACCCCCTGCGGGTAGGTGAACAAATTCTCGGGATCAAGCTTAGCCTTGATAGTCTTCAAGCGCCCCAGGTTGTCCCGGTAGTACTGATCTTGTGCATCCGCATTGCTGAGCTGAGAATCGGCATAATTCACGTAGCGACCCCACTCGTTAGTTGCCATGGTGTTTGTTACTGATGCCATCCATTTGCTGAGGAATTTGTACCCGGAATTTGGGTACGCAGAACCTCCAGAAGAGTCATAGAACTGCCACATGAGCACCTTGTCACGATGGGCGTAAGCTGTCGCCGAGTTTGAAACCTGGGCTGTCTTGGTTTTGCCACCATGAACGTCAATGAGGACGAACCAGCCGCTGTCCGTCGACTTTGCTGTGCTCTGGTAGTAATCGGCAAAGGCAGCGAAGCCGGCATTCGAGACCGTCTTGGTCATGAGACTCGACGCATAGAAAGTATCCGACAGGCTCTGCGGTCCGGTCTCGTCAAGGCTCGCTGAGCCGGCGTAATGCTTCAGCTGACCGATCCAGTCAGTCTGGGTGATGGTTGCGCCACCGACGTCGATGCCCAGGGGCGACAGGAACTTCTTAAGCACAGCGCGTGTCTGGTCCGCGGTTCCATAATAGAGGCCGTCAAACGCGGTGCTGTCGGCGGTGACAACAGCCCGCATGTTCAACTCGATAGGCTTGTCGTTCTGAGCATACTTCTGAAGAGCCACGAGAGCCGAAGCCAGCTTGTCTTTCTTCAATGCTGATGAGACCTTGAACCATGTGACCACTGAGGGAGCTGCGAAGGTGTTGAACTTGAACTCGGTGACGATGCCGAAAGACGACCCCGCGCCACGGAGGGCCCAAAAGAGATCCGTATTTTGGGTCTGCGAAGCTTTAACGACCTTTCCGTCGGCCGTGACTACGGTCGCCTCAACGATCCAATCTTGCGCGAGGCCGTACATGGAAGATGAAAAGCCGAAGCCTCCATGCAAGACATGTCCCATTCCAACACTGTCAAGCTGGTGTTAGCCTCTTTCACAACTGACCAATGTACTTTGATGCTTACCCAGGACATGATCCATGTGAGATGGCCCGGCCTCCCTGATTAAACAACTCTGTCGCGATGTGGCCGAGCCTCGCCCCCGCCTGCACTGTCGCCGTGTTGTCGGAATTCAGCGTCACGCCGTACAGCTCGTCCAGCCAAACAACTACATGGCCGCTTTCGCCGCCGAGTCCGGCGGATGAGTAGCTGTGACCTCCGCCCCGGGCCGTGACCTTGAGATTGTACTGCGCTCCGCACTTCACGGCAGCCTGCACATGGCTGACATCGGTAGCCGTTACGACAACGGCCGGTGTATATTGCAAACGAGAGTTGTAAGGCCGAATGTCGTTGGACCAATCTGAGGATGAGGACACGGCAACTGGTGCCTTGGCGGCGTTGAGACAGCCCTGAACTGTGTTGTTCGATGTGCCAGGCTTGCTTGCTGCTTCAGGTAGCGGCTTGGCCGCGGCTAAGGGAAGGCCACCAAGAGCCAAGGAAAGAATGATATTCGACCGCATTTTGTCAATGAGTGTGAGGGAGATTGGCTTGATAGATAGAACAAAAGACCCAGCTCCCCGTGCCTTGAAGGTTTATATGTCGACGAAGGGACCAGGACGTCTGTTCCTGGTGTTGCAGGTCCAGGCCCATTCGCCTCCACGGGAGCGGTAAGGGTTCGGTAGGGCCGCTCATCATCTCTTTGATCTTTGAACACGACCCGAACAAGCTTCTCCACGGGGCCATCTGGAATTGTGGATTTTCTGGGGATTAGACCAGACAATGGAAAGAGGCGCCAGTTCCAGAGTTGGTGGCTGGTCTTTGTCTGGGGCCTTAGTCGCAAACAGTTTAGCCTGGGGCCGATCTGTTTGCACCGACGGAAGCGGTCCAAGACCCAACCGATTGCAGAATTAGCCCTTTTAAACACGAGAAACGAGGCACTAGGTACGGCAAGGTGACCACACTTCGGGAAGCCAGATAAATATTCTAGAGAGGCGCTTGTCTCGGGCTCTCCTGGGCCGCATCCCATCCTGTAGTCTTCCAATGTTAACAATGATTTCAGAGTTTACAATGTACGCTGGACAACCCCGACCCAAGGCGCGCTCTTCAGGGGTCTCGTCATGGGCGAGCTTCAAGACAAGCGCTCGCAATTGAGTCTAGCGGAGGAGCAAGCCGCAAGATGACTGCATGTGTTTGATGACCCAATACCAGCACATTGATACTCGACCGTTTAGAGGGGTAGCTTAGCCCCTACTTGATTCTAAAACGTTGCCACAATGGTAATTTAATCTCTAAAATTATTGATGACTGATAGCATCGGCCCGCCATGATGACTATCTCACAAGTACTCATGGAACTTCATAGTCTCGACAGATCAATCAAGTAAAGAACGTGATAAGAGGGATGGCCATTTACTGTGGCTTGCCAGGCTGTCTTCCCGCTAATGCCGTCAAGAAGCTAAGTGCCTGTGTCTAGGAAGGTGAGATATTGGACTCAGCGATTGGGTGATACACCACACTAAGATCTCACTCGACTCCTGAAGGATCTCGATGACAGCACAGCACCTGCATGCCTCGATATAATGGGTCGCACGATGACTTCCTCAAATCCTCTTTGGCTCCCACTCAATACCTATGCCTACAATTGACGTCTATGACTTTTCCAGCCTCACTCATCTGGCATTCGAGAAGATCCTTCAGTTGGGGGCGAGTTTTTAGCTGAGCAACCTTTACAACTTTCAGCAAGTTTGAGAAGTATAAAAGAGAGGATTAATATCGAAGATTCTAACGATGTTTGAATGGACTCAAATCACAGCTTCGTTCTACTTCATTGCCCGCCCCATAAGTGTCAACAATATCTTTTGCGCTGTCTTCCGGCACAATGTTAACAAAGTTCTTAAGCATTATCTTCGTTGCGGGCATTGCCCTTGCAGTGGACAAGCCAGTGAATCCTGAAATCGACGCAAAGCTAAAGACAACGTCCACTGAACTTGAGAGGTTACAGCTCGTCAAAGATGACTATGTGTTTGACTTCAAGAAACACGAGTACTTCACATACTCGCCCGGCGGCGTCGTGAACGCCAACGCAGCAAACTTCCCCGCGGCAACTGGTCACGGGCTGACTGTCGCCTGGCTCGCTCTTGGGCCCTGTGCCATGCTGCCGGCTCACTACCACCCCCGTGCCACCAACTTCGTGGTCGCCGTCGAGGGCCAGACCCAGACATGGATGATTCAAGAGAATGGCGCTGACCCGGTCACCACGACACTCAACCCTGGGCAGCTGACCATCTTCCCCAGGGGCAGTCTCCACAACATGCAGAACACAGGTATGTTTATGGTTCATGATGGGGCGGCACGAAAAAGCTCTTGGCTAAGTGTAACCCATTCTTGCAGGGTGCGGCAATGCTACGCTTATTTCAGCCCTTGACTCCGATGACACGGGCACTTTGAATATCCTCAATGGCCTTTTCAAGTTGCCTAATGACATGGTTCAGGCTGCCTTTGGAGGCGTTTCGGGATCCAATAGTACTGAAGGAAGTGGGAGTCGCGTTCCGGCTGTGGGCACCGGAGCTGCTCTCGGATCCGAAGAGTGCTTGGCTAGGTGTGGCATGGGAAAGCACTAATGCGAGGAATAATAATGGTGATGAAGCCAGGACTATGCAGGCTGAGCGGGCCGTTTTCAGTATGAAGTTATGAAACAAAATGCCTCTTTCTTTTCTTTCTTTCTATTTGGGTTGATAACTCGATCATGCCAGCACACCACTTCGTCAATGTTTGTTTAGTCTATCTGTGAAGTTTTAAACCATAATGCATAGACTACTTTCCGGGGAAGGGTTAGAGAAGTGTTGCTCAACAGTGACTATTAGAAAAGTGACGGAGCCGGGAATTTGCAGTTCTGAATCAGCACGGACATCCACGTCCTCCTTTGTGCGAGATACTCAGAGATTGGATTGAAGTGCTCTTTCCCCTGGGCGCTGTACCAGAGTTCCTACGGAGATTCTCAGATGCGATTAGAGAGTCGGCCAAAGATGGTGATGTTGCATCATGGTATCTTATGACTCTATCCTGACATTGAGAACAAGCTTAGAGCAGTGTACAAGTCCTCAAAAACCTTGTGAAGCTGAAGTCTTCGTTGCGGTAAACATGCCTACATGTACAGACCACACAAAAACTTGTCAAGCGAGCGAGTCCACCCTGGAGTGTCACAGGCTTCGAAGGTTGGCGGGACCGGACTAAGCGATGGCCAAGCTAGTCTACTATTCGACGGACTTTACTGCCTATAAATCAACTTAACGGGAAGACCTGGCGCATAGTCCTAAACAAGACGGTATGTGGCAGGGAAGGAGCTATCCGGAGGAAGGTCATCTTTAACAATATGACTAGCTTTCCTATCGGACGTAGTGATAATGCTCACATAGATTGCTTCTCCACTCAAATGCAACTCAAAATACCAAGAAGCCCTGATGACCCCGAGTTGCGGAACCGAAAAGCACCCGACCATCAAAAAGCTTATTCTATCAACTCCAGTTTCACAAACCTAAAATAGATGCCAATATTTCTTGACTACTAAAATGCTTGTTTGCAGTTGAAAGTGACCTTGCATGAAGAATTACGCCCGAGAGACTTAGCGATGAAAGTAAGGTTATTTTGAGAGCCTGGGTTTCAACTACTACCTTCTCTGTGAGCGCTAGAGCCTTGGATTAGTTATTGCGGTGCTTGTTCACATATGGGTCACCTCCTTAGATCATTCCGTAGATTCAAGTCGTGAACTCGGCTGTGCCATCGCGGCTGTTCGGCGCGCTTGACGAGGCTTGAGGGTGGTGCCCCAGAGAACAAGGTTCCATGCTAGAACCCATGCGCAATCCTCTCATTCGTACCCTGAGTCGGGATTCTCTAAGCGATGTTGCAATTTGCATCTTCAAAGACTAGTATAGTATGCCACGAAATTCATGATCCTGGCCCGGGATGATGCTGTCACAGCAATCGCAACTACCTTGGTCATATGCCAAATGGATCGTGGATGGATTTCGCTGGACCCACGCACATTCGATATCGGGAGGTTTTATAGAGTTCTGCTGTCAGCTCGTCGACTTTAAGAAGCTCTGAGTGCCGCTCCATTATCTGGACCATCCTCATCAAGCAGCCTAATAATAACTCATTGACCGCGCCAAGAGGCCATTGAACTTCTAGCAGTCGAGCATTTGTCGGCGTCCACTCATTTCCTACCATGGGTCCTTCTTTTTTCAGCGCCTTTTCGGCGCTTTTCTTTGCCACTTCCTTCTTACACCCTATCAACGCCGCGGCGCCATCTTACAACTTCACCCAAGAGGCCATCAACAACGGCGACGCCCTTGCTCAACTTGCTGCAAAGGCTCTCGCTAACTCTAAATCCTTACACCAACGTTTGGGATCATTAGCAAACTCAACATGCACGCCGGACAATGTTCGCGTCCGCCGAGAATGGAGGACTCTATCAGCTGAGGATCGAAGAGCGTTCGTAGCTGCCATTGAGTGTATGCAGAGTTCTCCGAGCTTGTATGAGCCGGGAGTCATGCCGGCTGCGAAGACTTTGTACGATGACTTTGTGGCCATCCACCTCAAGCAGACCCCTGTAATTCATAGATCGGTAAGATCGCAAATCCGGTGTAAGCGGAAAGATATTTTGCCGATTGCTAATGTTCCTCTCGTTCTTCTGCTTAGGCTAATTTCCAGCTCTGGCATCGCCTGTTCACTGATGTGTTTGAGCAAAAGGTCCGCGAATGCGGTTATACTGGTAAGCTCGCATAACTGCCTTAAGTTGCCATCTGTCTGTATACATCTGACACAATATGTTAGGTACATTCCCCTTCTGGGAATGGGGTTATGATGCGGAAGACCCTGCGCTGTCACCTCTCTTTGACGGATCAGACACTTCCATCGGCAGCAACGGCGCCTTTGTTCCTCATGAAGGCCTCGAAATTCACCAGGCTTACACTAACGTGACCGTCAAACTCGAGCCCGGATCTGGCGGCGGCTGCGTCATGTCGGGCCCCTTCTCTAACATGACTGTCAACCTACCCGTCGTTAAGAACACCGACACTCCCCTCGCTGCTGACCCGCGCTGCCTGCAGCGAGACCTGAACAAGCACGTCTCTTCACGACACACCACATTTCGAAACACGACTCTCCTTCTGACTGAGCACAACACGGTTGAGTCGTTTTGGGGTTTCATGAATGGCGATGATCGTTACATCAACCCGTTTGAGCTAGGAGTTCATGCGGGTGGCCATTGGCAGCTCGGAGGGGACTCTGGCAACAACTTCTTCATCTCTCCGGCTGACCCAGCGTTCTTCCTGCACCACAGCCAGATCGACCGTGTTTACTGGATCTGGCAGATGCTTGACTGGGAGAACAGACAGGATATCTTTGGCACTGTCACGATGCAAAACATCCCCCCGAGCCGCAATGGCACTTTGGACGACCTTGTTGATCTTCGCCCTTTGGCTGAGCCGAGAAAACTGAGGGACCTGATGAGCACGATTGGTATTGGCGGCTCTCCATTCTGCTATGTCTACGAAGGGTAATTTCTCTTGTAGCATCAGATCAAGATTGGGGAGGGAAGACGGCGACATTCATTAAATGGCCTAGAATGCCTGATAATTACTCTCCTATGTACTTTGAATACTTCAACCATAATTCATCCTTCTTCAACCTCTCCATGTCCTCCTCTCTTAGACATATTGCAAGTGCGATGCTGCCATCCGGTGCCTTGGGAAGTAGGTACCCAAGACTCTCCACAGGTGTGAACTGCGGTCTCCGGACCGACTCAGGCTTGCCCAGTCCCAATCCAAAGTCGTGCTCATACAGATCGAGTTTTGCCCAGGAACTAAAGGCCAAGTCTCTATCGAGGCGAAGGGCCCCAGTGAATGAAAAGACACTCTTGTCCGCTGCTTGACTCATGATTGTCGCCAAAGCTCGCACTCCATAGCTCAAGGCTGCAGGATTCACAGTTGATCGGAGTTGAGATGCCGCTTCCCCTAGTGGTCTTTCGACGAGGTCCTTGATCGCCATGGAGTTATTCGTCATGCTCTGGATCAGCGCTGGGAAAGTTTGAGGAATGTCCATGTATCCTCGCACATTGGTAGCTCGAGCGAGCTTAGTTTCCGCATCGTGGGATAGGCGGTTCGCACGAATGCGACTGATTGACTGCCAGACGGAGGCAGTGACGGCATCGTCTGTTGTGATATAGCCCGACTTGACCGTCTCTGAAGCCAATGATTTCAAGGCTGACAGAGAAGCTGATGAAAATTCAAAGTAGGCCCATCTGCATGTGGCTGGTGCCGTGGCTGGCGTTGTTGAGGGCTTGATGGTCATCGCATCAGTCTCGGGTCCGCCCTTGTAGTCTCCGAGGAGGGGGATGATATCGTGGCGTCTCAGGTTTCCAGTTGTTACTTCCTCCTCGGTGAATTCTTCGCCTTTACACGCCTTGGATAAGAGTTTGATGAGTTGTCCTTGACCGGTGCCATCAAGTACCTGATGGTGGCCGAGGAAGGCGAGAATGAGCCCGCCTTTGATGAAGGTGGCTTGAGTGATGAAGACTGGCTCAGGCTCCCCTACCAGATTCGGGTCGATGGGAAGAGTCGGGCGAGGACAAATGATGCTTTCATCCAGCATCCCGAAGGGGAAGTTTGAAGCCTTCATGTTGTTCATCGACGAAACTGACGGGTCCGTTCTGAAATCCTTGATGATCAAGGGCGGGGTTGCTTCATGCGGTGCGATCTTGAAGATACCTGTGTTACCTTCACTCGCGCCCTCGTTGATGATCTGCCCTGCAACCCAGGGGAAACCCGCAGTCAGCCGCTCGAGACCGCTTGACAGAGTTTTAGTGATGTTTGCGTATGATTGATCATCTTTGACAGAAAAGCAGATCGCTATCTGGGTGTAGATCTTCAGCCCTGGCTGTTGGCCCAGAATCTCGATCGGTTCGTTCATGTTGCTTGAAGTGACTTGATGGAAATGAACCCCAGGAAGTGCAACCGTTTTTCTGGGCACGGAAGAGGCCGGTGTATGTGTACAAGAGTGATGGATGTGAAGTCGGAAAGAAATGGCCGTCAGCCCGTGATCTTTTCCTCGCCCGGGTGAGACCTGCATATTAATGTAGGTGGCCTAACAACTGTTCGAAGTGCTCTGTTCCGCTCAGTCGCACTAGAAAACCCACTATGAATCATCATGGCTCACTACAATGGCCGACTCTAATTGGTTCAGGGGCTTTAACACCGCCCCCATCCCACTCTGGGGGCTTGTCATGGTACCTTATGGTAATCCTAACTTATAACACGTGCTTTAATGTCTCTATTCAAATGGTCTTGATCCTGTGCATCATCGTTACTATTGTCATGACCGCCAGGATTCTTCTCCCTATTGTGAATATTCCAGATTTCTTTAACCATGAGATTGGGTCACTCTGTACGTGTATGTATGGTTTGCCGGCTACCTTCCTTTCTCGGTTTACACCCAGCGTTATGATAGGTGACGAAATGAAATTCAGATCAGCTACCTGACACAGAATGACTTTCATATATCAATAAATTTCCTTTCAACAGTGATTCGTATTTGGGGACATAGTTATCTGAAGTACAGACATTCGAATCTACACAATATGGTAGTTTATGTACATGAATTGGGAGCTTTTCCAAGCATCTATGTACAAGGTGCTTGTGGATCCCCATATCCAAACCTTATTCAATAATGCTCCAATCATAATCCAAATCTATCCGAATCGTCTCTCAATCAATCCTCAACAGAACATGGTTTTGACATGATTCTAACATGAAAATCATGTTCCTATCATATTTCCGACTTCAACAAGTCTTCGGTCACCGTGAGGAAATGCCACGTAAGAAGCCACGAGGCAGGCTATTTCATCTGCTATAAAAATTCGATCACAATGCAACCAACTCTCGTGACACTTCTTCCACTCTCCAACAACATCGTCCTCATTGCCATCTTCACCGCCCTGCCTATGGGGCTTTTTTGGTGTTTTTGACACCGCATTCAGAATTACACACAGATACCTTACCTAGGTAGCCAATCGAACTACCCGCACCCCAACTTCGAGCAGCCTCACCAACGCCAACTACTGAGAAAACGTCTTCTGCTACCCAAATGAATTTTGCGCCGCATTCTGCTAGCCGTACAGGGGCTTTCGACGAATTCGGACCCTGCCATGGATGCGGCACTTCGAAAACGCATACAGACCTGACTACTTTCGAGTGCTCTCTCCTTGAGCGACTCAGCGCTCAGATGCAGGAACAATACACCGCCCAGGGTCAGATCCGAGATATCGAGGAGCAGAAAATGCCCGTCGTCCAACTTCGCCTGTCCAAAATCCAAGACGATATTGCCTTCTTAGAGCGACAGATCGAAACCGAGACCCGGGGGCGTGCCGAAGCCAAGAGGCGCCAGGATGAGCTTAAAGGCGAGAAGGAGGAGCTTGAAAAGGTGATTAGGATGGCTCAAGAAGGAGTGAAGGTGGCAAAAGCTAGTCGTATGGCGGCCATGGAGACGGCTGCTGAGATCAGGAATGACATCAAAGAACTCCATGGTATAAGTGGTCGGGCTGAGAAAGATCAATGATTCATCGGCGCTTGCAGAAGCATGCTGATGAGGAGAAGCTGTTGAGGGCACAAGCTGAGGCTATGTTGGGTCCAAATTGGGAGAAACGCGTTGCTGCCCAGTCAGGGGGTGGTGAGCAGTGGGACTTTTTATTGAGGCTGTTACTCCATGTAAGGTAGCTTTCGTAACCGATTCCAGTCTCTCTATTATCATCCCGATCCCCTCATCTTCCTGCCAACATGCTGTGCGATGATGTTGAACCCCATGCAGCTCTCGGAGCGAGGCGGCCGCCTGTAACCCCTACTAGTATTCTACTTGTAGATAGCCCCTATCTAGAATGTGTAGGAGTGCGTTCTAGGTCTTCCCTCGGCCCCTTTTCTCTTCAACAACAGTGAGGTAGGGTATTGACATGCCTCTTCTACAGTGTCTGTCATCGATATCCAAGTCGCATCTTCATCTAACCCGGTTTGCGAGGTTCTCCTGCTCTCTAACTCATGTCTGTTTTGAAAAGGTCGCTATCAATTGCATCTTTGATGAGGCGTCAATTCCGAATAACAGCTCAGCAGTCAACAGGGGGTTTTCCTTCATAGAAGTATGCGTACTAATCGCTCCTAAGAAAACCAGCCAAGGGATCAAGATTCAATTGCAGCGGTTGGTTGTAGTATTTGCCGTATGCCCATACAGATCAAATCAAGAGAGTATCAGATACATCAACTCAAGATATTCATTGGAACATGCTACTCAGGTATCTCGAGACTGTGCTCCCATTCCTTTTTTCAAACCTGGACCCTCAGTCTCGCTTCACGCCTAGTCTGCCAACACTTCTCAACCCCCATAGGCTCACAGCTACAGAAACAAAACTCAGCCCGCAACTGAACCACCATCCAGCATGGTAACCTCGAAGCAGTGCTTCTCTTGCACCGACGCTTTTTGTAAGCGGTGAAGACACCTGCTGCGCTATGACGACGGTCGTGGCAATGCCGACGCTTTCACCAATCTGGGCGACCATATTTAACACACCACCCGCCAGGGCTTGCGTCTTGGCAGGGAATGCGTCGGTCACGACCAACATGGCAATGGTGTACATCATGTCTGCTCCGATGGGGTTGATAGCCATTGCTCGGAAGACGGCTTCCCAGTAGCTGGGGCCATTCACCCTGCACAATGCTGCCAACAGGAGCGGAGCGAGTCCACTCACGAAACAAGCCACCGGGACGGCATAAGATGCTCTCAGACGTGACAGAAAGACCGCAACGGCGATGTTTGTGAGAATGCTGCAGACGGGTGCTGGAAGGAAGTACAAGGACGACGTCAACGTCGAGAAACCACGAACGTCCTGTAGGTACAGTGCCGTGAGCTGCTCGCTGGCGTTGTGGGCACCCCAAACAAGGAAAACCGTGATGCATACCGAGTTGAATGGCTCATTTTTCCATAGCTCGTTGGGTATCAGAGCTGGCCGCCCCCGTCGCTTTTGGTGGTGCATCCAAAAGATGTAAACAGGCACGAGGGCCACACCTGTGCCGAGGAGCACGATATTGAGCGGTTGACGCATATGCTTGCCCGCGTCGGAGTCCGTAACGATACCCAGCACATAGGACATGAAAGCCAGACTCGTGCTGATGATCAACGCTCCAATCCAATCCAGCTCTTTTCGCAGGCGGGTAAGAGTGTTCAGCCCAAAGGCGCGGCATCATCAACGCTAACTGGAAGTGCCCACAGAGCAATGGCCAAGACGACAACATTAAGAATCGCAGTAGTATGGAATCCCCATCGCCACCCGACAGTGCCGCTAAAAACACCGCCAAGGGCAAGACCCAGTCCAAACCCGACGGCTTGGCCACCGCCCATAGCAGAAAAAAGCAGCAGTGCGTGTACGCGGCCTGGTGCTGTGAGGGAAAGCTGACGATACGATGCCTGCGGCGCTGGGCAAGCACATTGACGCCGCGACACCCGCAAAAGCGCGGAGTGCGATGAGCTGGGTCGAGGTTTGGGAGAGACCTGCGCCTAAGGCGCTGCCGGCTTGAAGCAGGGCACCTAAAAGACAGACGCGCCGGCAACCGAGGAGGTCAGCGGCCGTGGCGCAGAGGAGTAGAGTACAGCCGCATGCCAGCACAAAAGCGGAAGCCGGCCAAAGTTGAAGGCCAGCTTGTATGCCTATATCCGCTGCAATTACCGGTATACACACTGTCAGCAAGCCGGCCAAAAGGTTGCTGATTCCGGTGATGCATGTAATGGAAAAGATGATGGCGGCCGATCGGCTTTTTGATGGAGTCGAGTTGACAGGTTCCGCAATTGTTGATGCTGGGCCTGAAGCAGCGCTGGCTGGTTGCGAAACAACCGGTCCGAGTTCCACTGTATGGTATGAATATCTGGCATCAATGAGAAGAAGAGCAATTCGCTGGTGCCGTGGAGAGTCGCGACAGAACTCGCTCACGTCTATTTAACCTTTGTAGGCGAATATATCCGTAAATGGAAGAAATACAGAACAAGAAGCCACGGTGTAATACAGATATGTTTATATTACTCAACCCAGCAGAGTGTGACGTGACACGCGCTCTCTCCAGTTGCCATAAGTAGCCTGAAAGGGCAAGTTCAAATACGGAAGTACTTTGGTAGGCGTGCGGTCGAGGCCCATAATAATTGAATCTAGGCGAGATCGGCTAATAAGAACGTGGGAATCTAAGTCCTTCAAATAAGGGATTCTCGATAGAACACAACAAAATAAGACCACAGGGTTGCCCAAACACCTTTGAAGGGCGGGGCACTACTTACTTTTGATACGGAGTATTCAGCCATCATATGGTTATGATTATCCAGAACAAGTTGTAACTGTCCACTCTAAGCACCTCTTGTTGCTCGATCGATGCCAGTGCACCCAGTCTGCAACGCAAGCTTACATGGACTTTTATCCGGAAGATTCAGGAAAATTATCATCAGGCTTGGGGGGTACTCTGTACACTACCTAAGCCGAAAGACTCCAATAGTGATTGATTCCGGGCCACCTCGGAAGTTGAGCGTTATCCACATGGCCTGCGCCCGAAGCCGACTCTTATTAGCGAAAGTAAGCAGCGGTATAACGGCAACCAGGGCACTAAGAAGCACCGCTAACCTGCAAGTCTGCTCGGGCCCTGAACTCAGACACACCCCGGCCAGTCGGCGGGTGAAGCACCGACTTCTCAGGCCCCAGGCGCCGTTCCGACCCGACCAGTCGGCGGGGTAGCTACCGACACTGCCCTGTGAATACGACAACGAGCTTCACGAGACGCTCGAAAGCTGAACGAAGACCTATACTTTGTCAGCCTGCATCCAAAGCCGTGATGGCTCGGAGTGAACAGCCACCGATAATGTGGGCATCGCTGGACTACTGATCAACTATATAGTAAGAGCATATCTCGGTGTATTCTGTGAGTTTCGTACACTCAGTATTTATCTTTCAGTTTTTCAATCAACTCCAGCCCCACCATCTTACAGCACAGCTCAACCAACTATGGTGCTTATTCTTGGTCAACAATTTGGCGATCATGACACAAACACAAACACACGGCACTTGCGACCCCAAATTCCAAGAGATACGCAGGCAACTTCAAGACAATATCGACTCTGGGGAAGAAGTCGGCGCTGCCATTGCCGTCAACATTGATGGCAGCGATGTTGTAAACCTGTGGGGTGGCTACACGGACAAGGAACGCACCACGCCATGGACCGAAGACACACTCGTTACTATCTTCTCCTCCACAAAAACCGTCCTCAGTCTGGCCATCCTCATTCTCATTGACCGCAAAGTTCTCTCAATCAACGACAAGGTCTCAAAGCATTGGCCTGAGTTCGCCGCCAATGGCAAAGAGGATATCGAGATCCGCCATATCCTCTCTCACACGTCAGGCGTCTCTGGCTGGGATGCCGATGGGCCGCTCTCTTTCGAAGAAATCTCCGACCTTGATGCAGCTGCAGCAAAATTAGCTACGCAGGCGCCGTGGTGGGAACCCGGGACAGCGTCTGGGTACCACTCATTTACGTTCGGCCATTTACTAGCAGCCATAGTCCGTCGCGCGACAGGTACAACGCTGAGAGACTTCATCATGGAAGAGATCGTGAAGCCACTGGGCGCAGATTTTCACTTTGGCGTTTCCGACAAAGAGCTGCCCCGGACGACGGATGTTATTTCCGCACCTATGCCTCCCCTCGGTCCCGGCATGGGCCCCCAGCCGGGCTCCATCACGTTCAAGACCATGAACCCCATGCCCTTCCCCTCGGACTTCGCTAACGGCTCTACCTGGCGTCAGGGCGACATCCTCGCTGGGAGCGGGCAAGCCAATGCCCACGCGCTCACGCGGATCCTCTCAATCATCAGTCTCGGCGGCAGCGTCGACGGGAAACGATTCCTCTCACAAGACACCATCAACCTCATATTTGAGCAACAATCTAACGGATTTGATCTCGTAATGGGCGTGCCTATGCGTTTCGGTGTTGGGTTTGGCATTACGGGCGAAGGTGGTACGGCGGTTGCTGATTTCCTGCCTAATGGACGTATTTGCTTCTGGGCAGGCCTCGGTGGGTCATTCGTCGCCATGGATCTAGACAGAAAAATCACCATCGCATACGTGATGAATAAGTTGTCCATGACGGGGTTGGGAAACAACGCTGCGAAGTCTTACATCAGGGCCATTTACAAGGCATTAGAGGAGTAGTGATGTGAAGTCGCGAAGGTTCAATTGCATACAATTATCATTCTTCCGCAACATTCGCCACAAGATCTGATGATGATGAAATCAATGTCGCAAGGGTTCAGCCCAAGAGTACACCAAAATCGTTGCCTAGATGAGATCAAGCTTCTCAAGTTCCGCACACAGCAGGCAGAAGTTTAAGCAATAAGCTTCTTTGCATCAAGTAATTTGGATTGGTCAATCAAGAGCTGGCATTGTTGAACATCACTCAGCCGGTTCGCTAAGATCATAGCCGCGAGCCGAACTCTCGCTCCAACCGCATATGCTATGCAACTTTTCTGCACGGTTATGCGCCAATAGTACGACAAACCCATTTTTTGGCCCGCATAATTCGCCAATATTCTCGTTACGACTGGCTTGGATGTGTTCTCAGAAGGACAGGCAGCAAGTATTCTGGCGCCGCATTTCCAACTAAAACATGCGTTCAACCCCTCACCACGATCTACCTTAGGCAGCAGTTTATTCCGAAAGCGAGCGACACCTGGCCAAGAAAAGACTAGACGGTTTCTCTAGTCTCAGTGGCTTCGAACAGTCTGTAAGTGGCTCAAGTTGTTATAAAGAGACTGTAACAGTTTCTATCGTCGCACGAGATCCTATTACAGGCTGCATACCCGATACCCATCTTGCCTTCAGTCTCGCTACTTCCAATCCGATTACTCTTTGCTTCGAAATCTAGTTCTCGGAATTTTGTGAAGTTTGAAGAAGCCAAAAATGTCTATACCAACGGTTGTGCTCATCACCGGAGTCAACAAAGGTGGGCTGTTTTCCTTGTCTTTATCCTAAATCTCATCCGGGTTGAGGTTTTAACGTCCCGAGTCTAATGGCGGACTAGGTATTGGCAAGGGACTTCTGGAAAAGTACCTCGCCCGACCCAACCACACGGTCATCGGTAGCGTGCGGGATACCAAAGCTCAAGCATCCCAAGACTTGGACAAACTTCCCAAAGCAGAAGGCTCCCGCCTCCTTCTCGTCGGTATCGACAGCATTTCATCAAACGACCCTCTTGAAGCGTTCAAGGTCGTTGAAGCAACCGGAATCAAGCATGTAGACCTTATCATCGCCAACGCTGGTATGGGCCCGATGCCACCGAAAAAGCTGGACACTGCCGAGATCGAGACCATCGAGTACACCCTACAAGTCAATACCCTGGGCCCCATTCGTCTCTTCCAGGCTTTCAAGCCGCTTCTCGACAAGTCCAGTTCGCCTAAGTGGGTTTCGGTATCGAGTGGCGCTGGCTCTATTACCAACTGCGAAAAGTACATGGCGTTCTATGCCGGTGCTTATGGTGTGTCCAAGGCCGCTCAAGATTGGTTTACTGTGTAAGTAATTATGCAAAGTCAGATGGCGAGCGAGTTCCGGAGACTAGATCGCTTATAACTCGCTCATAACAGAGCTATTCATGCCGGCAACCCTTCGCTGGTCGCCTTTGCTATTCACCCTGGGTAAGTAGCTTCTGTAGCTGAAAGATGTCGACAGTATAAGCTGACCTGAGGCATAGCCATGTTCAGACGGAAATGGGTAACATTGGTGCGCGCATCGTGGGACTCAAAGAAGCACCGCATACGATTGAAGAGAGCACTTCGAAGACGATAGATTTGGTGAGCTGTTCCGATGTCTCCTGGATTGTCTCCAAGTCGCTAGGGCTTAGAGTTTTTGACTGATATATTGATAGATCGACAACGCAACCCGCGAAAGTACTTCGGGCAAGTTCATCAACGTCATTACCGGCCAGGAGGTTCCCTGGTGAAGTATCGGCACTACTTTCCTCTCTGGCTCTCAATGTCAGGGTCTAGAGATCTGGAGGCTTCACAACGTCAATCCAATATTCTGGATTGGAATTGCGACAGCAGCCTACTTAGCGATCTTTTCAGTAACTATGAGACTTCAGTGGCGGATTAGTACCTTAACAATATGAGACGCATCTCAATAATACGAGAGGAGTCCGGAGGCCCCGTAGCCTCAATGAGTACTTCCAACGACTCAAGGTTCATTTGCGTTATGTGCACGTAAATATGAGATAAATTACTGGCTTACAACTACGGCATGGATTGAATGACGATCTACTTTGCTGGTCCAACCTTGGTATCCTCGTGAGCCCCAGCATACAGGGGCTTCAGGTTCCCCATCTTGTCGCATGCAGAATACTTCCAGGACTTCTTTTTGAAGCGATACGTGACGTGCCTGCAGATGAGTTTGATGACTGGTGGCGCAGGAGGCCAACTTGCCCACTGGCCGTCCTCAAAAGCAACGTCGTGATTTGACAAGCAGAATGGCAACCCCTTGATCAAGCCGAGAGCTTTCTGCGAGTCGAAGTTGCAAATGTCAGCTAAACGTCATGAACTAGACTTTCAGGGAGACACAACTCACCATGCTCTTCTCTCCTTCCTCTTCGAAAGCCTTCTCCAACGACGCCATCTTATCCGCACCAAAAACCCTGAGCTCCAGGATACTCGGAATCTCATCCCGAAGATGCTTCGTCAACACATCGCCGAAGCCATCGATCAAGGTCACAAGTTTTGCACTATCCAGTATATCCTTCCCTGACACACATGTATCGACGTATTGCTTGAAGCTGGCTAATGAATCGTGAAACTCCTTGTGTTGCGCGACGTTGACATCCATCAAGCCCTTCTGGCCTGTTAACTCATCGATAGCCGGGAAAAATTGTTCTTCCTCACCGGAGTGATGGACGTTTAGCAGACTGTACCAGGCTAGAATGTACTTCAAAAAAGCCTTCGACTCAGATGCCTTGACGTGTGGTGCCTGAAGGTAAATTGAGTTGAGGCCCCGTATTATCATATTGTGGACAAGCGCCATCTCGGAGGCGATGCGAGTGAACATGTCAGGCTGCTTGAGTTAGCCACGAGTCTTTCGCTGCCTTACTTTGGGAAACAAACCTCGTTCACATCTTTTTCATTCGTTGAGTTTTGGTAGGTTGGCGTGGGTATCAGAGAATAAGGGTGGTCAGCATAAATGGACGCCATCGTTAATGCTCGGAGGGTGAGCAAGCCTCCAACGTGAATTCCAGTGAGAAATCAGATATTTCTCGAGATTGCCATTTATCTATGCAGAGCATTGGTTATTTATGAAGAATTTCTGGATTCGATCCAAGTCTGCACGAATGCCATGCCTATCCGGCATCGGACGCCATGTCTAATTTTGTCGCAGCGCTGGCTTGAGATAATGGAAGCTACAGCTTGAAGCGGAAAGTTAGAACGCCTACATCAAAGTCCAGGGATAACAAAGTCTCCCAATAAAGAGTCTCGACTTAAGCCAGCTTCAATGCCCTTTTTTCTAGTCTCTCAGCGTGGCGCGCTAAGGGGTGCCGGACTATCGTGCCGACCATGTCCATGGGCATGGGGCGGGACGCCATCGATAGGCTGGATTGAGACCGAGCGCCTACAAAGATGTTTGTCTTGGGACTGTCGTTGGAAAGTTAAAGGTGCTCGCTTGGGGACTGGAGTTTCCATGAATTCTTTGCACCTGACAAGGCACCCACAGGTCGATACATAGCAGGCCTCCCTTTTCGTTATCACTCTTATTCTCACTACTAATGGCTTACTCTGACATTCTAAAATGATTCTTTAGGGAATACACCGAAGGTGAAACCGAACATGAGCAATGGTAGGGATAATGGCAATAATAGAGATGGAGGTAGACATGAAGGTCAACTATTAGATTGAAACATGAGATCGAATTGCGTCTTATCTCAATACCGCTGAAGGTATGTGTAATTCAGGAAAATATTAGGGAAGGTCTATGCCAAACTGATCTGAATGTGATCCTCGGGGCCGAACGGCCGACTCTTCAGCCGGAGGCCAGCACTCACCGCGCCGACTTCTTCAACAACACAACTCATATTCTTTCAATCTCTTCAGAATGGCAGTATTTCAGGTCTCCTCGTGGCTGAGGATCAGAACAACCTCCTAGACTCCCAGCTTCAAGTTGACGTTTGTCATGTATGGGTAAGAATTGAATAGTTTGTACGAAGTGAATATATACAGCGAAGTTATAAGCATGACCTTACAGCCAGTTCATACTTCCCCAGAGCACCTTACTTAAGCTACACAATACGCAAGGCTGTGTCGTATCTTCAAACGCCTCATGCAACATACCCCTTGAGCAAGGAGTTGTAGTACGTGTAACCTGTGCCAGAGGGAGGCTCGAAACTGTAGATATAATCGGCCCACCAAGGCCCACTGGCCCACCAGAGACCTCCGGTCCACACGTCATCGTTAGCCTTGAGGTAGTCAAGCATGCCCTTGACGGCGGTCTGGCATTGGGAGTTGGCTCCGCCCGCGAACTCGCCCAAGATACCGATCTTGCCGTTCTGACGCAGCCAATTTGTGGCAGCAGTGACCCTTTCGACACCAATAGTAGTTGATACACACGCTGTTGACGTGCCGGAGCTGTCTGAGTCGAGATACTGATGCATTTCGTAGACGATCTTGTTCAGGGGGTCGGTGAGAGCCTTCATGTTGTCGTTCACAGTGACCCACGACCAAGCACCGGACCACTGGTTTCCTTCGACAAAAACGTACTGGGTTGCTCCTGCTGCGCGAATACCGTTGATTGCGGCCTGGTTCAGGTTGAGCACAAGTGTCTGGTCCATGGTGTTATACTCGTTGTTCGTATCGAAGATGACGTGATCATTGCTCTTGAATTGGGTAGCAAAGTTCTTCCACCACGTTTGGAAAGCACCGGTATCAGTGATAATATTGTCGTAGAATCGTCCGTAGTTGTGGGGGTCCAAGACAGCCCAGCCTCCGCTCGAGGTAATATGGTTGATAACGGTGGTGAGGTTTGCCAGGTACGCGGTGTTGAAGCTTGCCGTCAGGGAATTGGGAGTCATGCGCTCCATCTTGAATTGGACACGGAAGGTATTATAGCCCTGCCCTCGAAGAGTCTAGGTGGTTGTCAGTTTGGTGTGTCGCTTCTTCTGTGTGGGTATCAGGAACCCACAGTAATGGTCGATGTATCGGGAAAGATGAAGTCCTTGCCCCAAGTACCAGGCAGCGTCTTCTCTCCAAATTCACCGCCGGCTTCGTTGACTCCGAACCACTTCCACCCCAGAGAGTTGGCAGGAGGAGAGGTCGCTGTGGCGGTGGACTTGGCTGTGGAAGTCGTCTTCGTGACGAGCGTCGTTGTAACCGAAGGCGCGGCCGTTCCGGGAAGACACTGGCTGTACCATTGGTTCGCAGCAGTGCATACAGAACCGCTAACACATGTCGTCGCTCCAGTCCATCCCTGGCCACCGCATTGTCCGTATAAGGGCGCCTGTGCAGTGACTGCGCTGACAAGAGCTCCGAGAGATACCAGGTACTTCATGGTGAGTGAAAGTTGCATAGACTCCTTGCGTATCTTGGGTTTCTGGATGAAGAAGCAAATGTGAAGTATGTCTCGGCACATATCCTTGGCCGTCTTCTTATATGCCAGGCTCTCAGATGAACCTCTCCCATCCCAAGCTTCCGTTAACCCATACTCATATTTCCGTCGGCTCATGGAACCCTCTACTCCGTGGCACCTTCCCTCTTTCACCATCAAAGTTGTGAGCCCCCGTGGGGTCGCATGTCCCGCCCGACTCGCTACCATTCTCGCAGGGGGGTATTTTAATGTCGTCTTTTGCGAATTTGCCTTTTATCTCCGGCTCCTGAATCCGTGAAGAGAATGTTATAGACTAGGGCCCCTGGTCTGTTTCTCCTTGGGGGCCGGCATTCCTAGAGCCGCAGGTGCCATAGACTCGTGGTGAGGACGACAGCAACGTCGGACCGGCTCACTGGAATCACACACTCCGGAGAAGGGGCAGGTGACCTCGAATAAATGCGACTACGTGGGACCAATAAGAGTTTCATTCATTTCCAAGAGTGGAATAACGGGACCTGCGATGTCGGAAAAGTCGTAGTCTTTGGTGTGCGGTCGAACCGGAGTAGCTGCCTCCGAGGTTGCATCGGGCCATCGGAACGCACTTTACAACACATGACTGCGACTTGAGCATTTTTCGGTACCGTAAAATGTGATGAATCCTTATTCACGATCCCACCAGTGACGAATTCGATTGAAATGAAGTTGAGAGTGGGCGTAAGGGGTAAGAAGGCCCGGATCCCGGCCGTTGGATGTTCCCGTCACGGCTCGTCGCTGCGTCCCAGTGCCTTGATGAAATTGGTTCATCCACATAAACTCGATTTTGCAAGAGCAATCCTGAGCGTGGTCGTATTGCATTTGAAGTCTTAAACATATGCTATGTAGTCGTGAGTCTTGTGTTGACTTGGGTAACCTGCAAGTTGAGCCTTCGGAGAGTTCACGGCTTGGCATCTTGGCGTCGACGCCGGCATCCATCTCACCAATGGCTGTAGCCAATGCCAGATGCAGGTTACGGAACATAACTACCGATACTGTCGTAGATCTGTGCGACCGAGGGACCTTCTTGTCCGAACATTATCTGAGTCTTGATTAACGCCTGAAAGGCGAGGAGACGATTTCATGTATGACCTTTGCGTAAGATGGATACACCAAGTAAGGCTTCAAGGCGACGACATAAGGATACATTCGGATGGTCGGTTTCTTAGAAACAAAGGCTATCGATAGTAGCCATTCTGGAGGAAGACAAGGGGCGCATTAGGGAAGTAGATAATTACTGCTACTAAGCAGTACGTCTCGAGATAGTCAGCGACAACGTTGAATATCGAATGAAGCCTAGAAACTTGATCGTGGACGCTGGCTTCGAAGGGCTGGGGGATGAATATCCAGTTCGCATCAACATCAGTTAAACGAATTCTAAGGTCTCAAGCAAAGATTTTGGATAGGCTTCTTCACCAAGATTCATACTGCTCCGACCCGTCTTAGTATAGCTGAGGTATCTGGTCATGACAGACACTATGATGGTATTGCTTTCTATTCCCTCGGGAGTAACATAACCTCGCTCAATGTCAAGACCAACTCCAACAAAACTTGCAACACCATCTTACACAGACCAACTGCTCGAACACGAGCCCAAAAAGGAATGCTCACAAGTCGGTTCTGCCTAATCCAGCCTTGTACGCCGATAGGGCTCGCTCACGACATCCCTTATGTTCAACCATGGGCTCGGGATACCCTGCCTTCTTCGCCTGAGCGCCCGCACCGCGGTCATAGGGAGCATGGATCGCCTTGCCCTTGATGCCCTTGAGCTCAGGCACCCACTTGCGGATGTAGTCTCCGTCTGCATCGAATTTCTCGCTCTGGAGGAGTGGGTTGAAAATACGGAAGTAGGGCTGGGGATCTACGCCCACGCTGGCAGAGAAACCCCAGCCGCCATTGTTCGAAGCAAAGTCGCCATCAATAAGGGTTTCCATAAACACTCGTTCCCCCATGCGCCAGTCGATGAGAAGATCCTTTGCGAGGAAGCAGGCGACGATCATGCGACATCGGTTATGCATCCAGCCCATATGGGCCATCTGGCGCATCGCCGCGTCGACAATGGGAAATCCAGTCCTGCCCTCTTTCCAGGCTTTGAATTCGTCCATATCGTAGGACCATTCGATGTTTGCGTACTCGGGCTTGAAAGGCTTGTTCATGCTAGGTAGGACTTGTTAGTGATCAAGGCTCAAATTTTGTGGACGGAAGGGGAACGTTGTCCGACATACCAGACATATGGCCAATTGACCAAGACGTGCTTGTAGAAGTCTCGCCAAGCCACCTCGCTGATCCATACCCGAATTCCCTCGTTGCCCGCATCCAGCTTCTTGGTCTTGTTGCGATCCCGAGCGTACCGCACGCATGTTCTCGAACTGATGGTCCCACTGGCAAGATGCACTGACAAGTTGGAGGTCCCGGCGTCGTGAGGGATGTTGCGTTTGTTGTGATACTGGCCGACCTTTTCCTCGCAGAACTTCTCCAGACGGCTTCGTGCCTCATGTTCGCCTGCCGGGAAGAAGGCACGGAAGCGCTTCTTCTGGTCGTCGTCGAGCTTCCGGTCCACAATCTCCTCCGGAATCTCCGTTTCAAACAGCTTGCTGTACTTCTCCCTTGCGCTGGATGGGTTCTTCGCGGGCGGATCGTATAGCTCCAAGAGGTCCAAGTTCTCGTGGACGTGCCGGACCCAGGCCCGGAACCAGGGTGAATAAACGGCGTACTGTTTGCCCGCCCCGCTGGTCAGAAGTCCGGGAGGGACGACGCACGTATCGTGCAGCACCTCGTACGAGAGGCCCTTGTCGGCAAACATGCGGACCATCTTCCCCTCCCGGCGAAGCTCGTCCACCTCGTACTCCATATTGGCAAACAAGTGGCTGGCCTCCCATTGATCCATGAGCTCAGCGATTCGTTCGGGAATCCTTTTGCGTTTCTCAACGGTCTCGACATAGAGCGGGATGTCAAGCTTGGCGAGGTCCTCCCTCAGAACATGCAGGGTCCTGAGCATGAAGTCGACGCGGATGGGGGCCGTTAGATGCGCTTCATAGTCCTGGGGGCTGACAATGAACATGGCGATCAGTGGGACCCTCGCCTCCTTGGCCTTCGCGCTCGCTAGAGACAGCGATCTGTTGTCTGTTGTCCGGAGATCCATCTTGAACCAATGGACGACGGCGTTCTTTGTCTTGAGTGCCTTCCTCGTTTTGGATGTCTGCTCCAGCGCGGATGTGAGCTCCTCGATTGGCCTGGGAAGCTCGTTCTCGTTGTAGGCGCGTGCTCGGTCGTTGCTCATCTCGTGTGGGTAGAACTTGCGCAGGACGATCCCATGCTTCTCAGCGTCTTCGTAGAACGGGTGTGGCTTGCGCAAGGGATCCCCTCCGTTTTGCTCGGTCTTGGTTCTCTTCCTCCCAGAGTCACTGGACTCCGCAGCCGGCGCCGCCTTACGCTTCTGCTTGGGCGGCATCGTGGTGATGTAGCGAGTATGAGGATGAGAGTTCGCTACTATGAGGTTACTCGAGCTCGGCTGTCGAGTGCTGCAAAGCAGGCGAGACTTGTAGAGTGGAGGAAAGCTAGAGGCGGGATTCGAGGTGAAGCGCGAGGTAAAGGGAGAAACGGCAGTAGTAGCAATCGCAGCACGAATGTAAGAAGTAGCTAAAGGTGGAAGCGCGTTGCTGGGGAGCAAGACGCGACAGACGAGCATATGGTGACGGAAATTGTGGTCTTTCGAGTCAAAAGACTGAATCTGAATTGATTTGATTGATTATTGCATGGTTCTAACTTTCGTCTGGCCCCTCCCATCAAGCTCTTCAGCCTGTGAGAAAGGGGAAATGGACGGGATCCAGCTGGAGAAAGGTCCACGATCGGCGCGATGTGTTGTGCGTCATCATGTTCCTGAAATCGGGAGATCTGGACGTGCATCAGCTCTAGCGTGCCATCCCAGCTCCCAAGGCCCTGGTTTAGCGGGGCCCCGCCCGATTGGCGAATCTGACTGGCTCTCGGGAACCGCCCGTGCGGCTCAAGGTGAGGGATCCGAACTAGTGCTCGGTGAGCTGGATCGGTCTCGGTAGATCTCGGTGTGCGGAGGATACCTCGGATACGGGGAACAGTGCCCGGAGATCAGCCGGACCCACGCAGCAACTGCGCGTCACATGGCGATAAGAGCTCGCGCCCGTAACCTGGAAGGCAAGGTCCCCGATAAGCCTTGAGCCTTCTTTCCTGTTGTCGCAAGGCAGCTCGCGACGACAAGATCGCCACAACTTACGACCTTCACGACAAAGACAGCATTCTACCTAACAACAGAACCGTTGTCGCCGATCCCCCAATCCCTCAACGACAGCAAACATGGACCCGGGCCGCAGAGCCATGCTCTCTGGGCGCAGATCACCCAGCCGCAGAGATCGCGAAAGAGACAGAGACATAGCCTCTCCACGACGCGACCCGAATAATCGCATCACCAAACCATCGAACCCTCCCCCTTCTTCGAGGCCACGTCAGAACAACAATTCGAGCTATATGACGCAGGACGAGCAGTCTAGACAGTTTGTCGCTGATGAGGACAAGTTCGTTTTGAAACAAGCCAAGAAGAAGGCTGATATTCGAGTTCGGGAAGACCGAGCCAAGCCTATTGATCTCCTGGCCTTCAATCTGCGCTTCATCGACGACGACCGGGACGTCTTCGACGACGACGATGCCGACTTGCACCTCAATGTGGCCTCTCCCGAGGAGGTCCTGCAGGGGCTCGACGAATCACAGCTACGAGACCTGGATTCTGACATCACGTCCTACCACACCCTCGAGCAAAACGACCGCAACCGCGACTACTGGAAGTCGTTGCAAACTATCTGTGCCGACAGGCGGCAGAAGCTGAAACCACAAGGTCCAGACGCTCGGGTTGTGAGCACAGTATCCGAAGATGTCGACAAGATCCTGCGCCCCAAGACGTACGAGCAGCTTGAGGCACTCGAATCACAGATCAAGGCAAAGCTCCGCTCCAACGACGATATCGATGTCGACTATTGGGAGCAGCTTCTCCGCAGTCTGCTGGTGTGGAAGGCTAAGGCCAAGCTGAGAAAGGTGTCCGAAGCAATCAACGACAGCAAAGCCGCACTGCTCAAGCTGCAGGATCCGGAAAAGGCAAAGGCACTAGGCGGCCACAACCAGCCCAATCATGCCGATTCTATTTCGGGCCCTGCAGCAGTCAGGAACCTGTCATCTGAGCCAAGCAGGACAGAAACAAAGACGGTACCTGTTTCAAGTGCGCCCCCAGGAACAGCTCGATTTGCTCAGACGGGCAACGAAGACTTTTCCCAAGCTACCAAAGCTCTATACGACCGTGAGGTCGCGCGTGGCATAGGTGAAGACGAAGAGATTTTCACGGCAGAAGAGACCGTTGCAAGTGGTTCGAAACCTCAATGGGCTGATAAGCATCGGCCACGAAAGCCGAGATACTTCAATCGCGTCCAGATGGGCTACGAATGGAACAAATACAACCAGACACATTACGACCACGACAACCCGCCCCCAAAGGTTGTCCAGGGCTACAAGTTCAACATCTTCTATCCCGAACTCATTGACAAGACCAAGGCGCCCACTTTCAAAATCATTCGAGAACACGGTAGAAAAAGGGGAGAGTCTTTTGCCGCAGCAGGGGAGGAAGATACATGCCTCATCCGATTCATCGCAGGCCCCCCATACGAAGACATTGCCTTCAGAATCGTGGACCGCGAGTGGGATTACAGTGCGAAGAAGGATCGCGGCTTCAAAAGTTCCTTCGATAAGGTATGTTTTGTGGCGTTTTCTACACCGTCTTCACGTGGCCCTTTTTGTCTGCATCTTGTCTTGTTTCTCTCTCCCTTCTCATAGTGCTCGTGGCGGAGTCGACGCGGTGCATATGCACGGAGAGCACAAGAATCACTCAAGGGGGGGAGAACTGCAAAGAGTTACGCCCGCACAACTGTGCCCCTTACCCTTCTCTCTTTTCCTCGTTTCCCCAATCTGCCATCATGTCGAAGGAACCGACCCTCCATGAGACCTTTCTCCAATGCCGAGACAGGCGGTCCACGAGGAGACGAGGGGAAGACAGCCTTCGCTTTCCGCCAGACCACCGACTCCGCTATTCTCCCCCCCCCCCCCTTGCCCAACCGCCTACACGCGCGCCTCTGAACATATTCTCCTGTTTTTCTGTCATATTACTTGTCACCGGCCACCCTTGTCATGGCGTTGAGCTAATCTTATACTCCCTGCAGGGTATCCTGCAACTGCACTTTCAATTCAAAAAGGTAAGGAACAAGTCCCACTCCCACGTTTGATTCTCTCTGATTGCAACCATACTGACATGATGCCCCCCTTCCGCAGATCTACTACCGGAAGTAATTACCCCCAGAATCGGGCTGGTGTTGGAAAGGAGGCTCGCTCGTATTGTCACGATGCATCTACGATGTCACGATGTGACAGAATCAACCGGTCGGGCGGATACATCGGGACAACGTTTGGTGTTGGGAGGTTGTTTTGTTTTTGGCCTGGCCAGAGGTCAGGACAGATCTGTATCTGCTCTCCATCTTCAGATCCCGTTCGCCTCATCTTCTCCCGCTCGCTCGCTCGCCGGCCGCTCTCACTTTCGCTGGTACCACGTACATCTCTCTCCTCTTTCTTCTCCTCTACCGTTCGGATCATACACCCGCCGACGACCGCAACAGACCGCCGCTGGCCGCGGCCCGACCTCCTGGGAAGACAAGAGAATGACGCACAATCACACAGGCGACCATAGCTCTCGTCTGCAACTAATCAATTACCTCCTTTCCATCTTCTCGTGCAACTGTTGGTAGTTGGTACCAGGGCACCAAGGCATCAAGGCACCGGACGGGGCGCCAGGGCAACCCTTTTCGGACTCTTGCTGTACCTTTACTTGGAATAGCTGCCTGGCCCCCACGACGCTAAGTGCTGCCGGCCCCGGACGACTGACATGATTCTAAGCAGACTTGTATGAAGCTATCCTGACCAGAGTCCGAGTACAATGGCTGCAGCTACTTGCTGATCTCCACGCCACCGCAGAGGAATCCACCCACCACCCTGCCACGCCTACCCTCTCATCTCTGGGCTGGCGATCCAACCCCTTCACCGTCTTGGCCGTTCGTTGGGCGTTGTCGGTGGACGGCGGGGTACTATGACGAGCAGCAGAGTCCCTAGGTATTACTGACCTGGAACGATCGGTCTTCCCCGTGATGCACAGATGTAGAGGCAAAGAAACCCGAAACACCACTCTTGAGCAAGCGGTCACATTTCGGCATAGGTGGGATTGAATCTCCACCTTGACTACATGATTTCCCTGTTCTAAATCCGTGTCGACAACGTTGAGCCTTAGGGAGCACCATAGACTTTCTAGAATTCGAAAATGATCTACGTGCCCGCGGGCTGGCATCGAGAGACCCATCTCCCGCCTGCCTTGCAACTCTTTTACACTGGTACAGGCCAGGAATGTGAGGCAGCGCTCGTGGCGACGGCAGCGGGTGATTGGTCTTCTCGCCAAAGTCGATGCACGCGGCCGGTGTACCTGCTGCTGGTCTCCGAAGAGCTGTTGTTCTGCCCCAGATGCCTCCTCTCAGCTCGATGATTGACTGGTTGATTGTCAAGCTGGCTGGCGGGCCTTACTCCAACCACGAGAATGACAGGCGTACATAGTCTGTACATCTCTTGTCGAGCTGTACCTGGTACAATATGCCCCGCCACGACCTGCTACCCACATCGGCCTGGCTGTGGATGTGTGCAACAATCTCTCATGCTCTCTCGTCTCGTCTCGCTATCTCGCCTGGTGTCGAGGTAGCCTCAGGCTTAGAGCGTGTACCATGCCAGCATCCTGCCGTTGACCTTCCACACTCCCCCCTCTCTCCATCCGCGTCCTGTATGGGGCGATGGACCTGGACTGTCATGGCCGCCATGGCCGTCCCGTGCGGTCACTGGGGCAGAGTTCCGCTCCTGCTATCAAACCATGGTTGCACGCAGACGACCTGGATCATGGGTCGACGGCTCTTAACGAATGGGCACCAGGTCGGTGGCGTTGTTAGTTCCAACGGCTTTTGCTCTACCTTCGGGGTAGAGACCACATGGAGACGAGGGAGAAGAGAGAAAGGTAATCCGAAGAAAGAAACGCCCTTGGAGGCTCCCCGTACCGCCCAGTCCAGCCCCAGCCGTCGTCTACTCCTCACACCTTTTCTTTGGCCAACAGAGCATCCGTCAGTTCAGACGTAGTAACCTGGTCCCTTCATGAGGATGCAAAAGGGGACGCCATTTGCGACATTCCTTCAATCAGCATTTCAGAATAGAAATTCCATGATCCTGGTCGACTCTTGCACTTGCCCCGGACGGAGCTGATGGCAGAAGCCACATCCAAGCCTCCATCTGTTTCCGTTTGCGTCCGGTCATGGAGAATAGAGGCTGCAACGGATCTGTGCATGCAGCAGAGAGGTTGCCGCAGACGTGGATGGACACCTCCATCTAGTTGACACACGCACATAGGCAAAGACAGAGATGGACACGCAGGCGGCAGAGAGAGAGAAAAAGAGAGTAAAGGAGACTGGAGGGCGCGCAGACCAGCAATCGCGCATATAGAAGAACATCAGACAGACGCATATACGCACACAAGCATATACACAACAAGCAGACAGGCACACACATACATACCTACACACACGCACACACACACACACACACACACACACGCACACACGCACACATGGCGCCGCCGCGGCTGCGGGAAGACACCGCTAAAACAAGGGCCAAGCAATGAGCTGGCACATGTTGCCCTCTCTCATTCTCACTCACTCACTTCCTCTCTCTCTCTCTCACTCTCCCCCGATATCCACATGGCCAATGTTACGCTGACCCCCCCCCCCCCTGCAACCTTACCCCGGTCCTGCGCCTCTCTGGCTGGCTCATCCAAGATCCTGTACGTATCTTCTTGTACGTACTCAAGAAGACCAAATTGGGCGACATACGTCTGTCTGTTCCTTGCACTACCTTCACAACGCTCTACTACCAACATGGGAACTTCTGGAAGATAGGACGGGCCTCTCTCTCTCTCTTGTTAAATCACAACGGGGTCAACCCCTTGCTGAGGGCACCTTCAACAGACATCAGTGCTTTTTCGTTCTTGAACCAACATCGTTAAAGTCGCCTCATTAATAACCTCTCGTGTCTCCTCTCATTTTCTCGAGACGCCTTCCTGAGACGGTCTTTATTCAATATCAAGCTCAACATTATTAACCTGTTGTCTCACCTCGATCATTGTTAAACTTCGACTCCTCCATCCCCCCACTCTTCTCCCTTCATCTTTACAACATCACCTTCAAGTGGTGTCTGTGACATCTTGATCTCTCCCTCGTTTTGAAACCTCTTTCCGCGCAAACTTCTTCCCAACTTGTTTCAGGCAGCGTTACCTGATTCCCATCCTCCTCCTCCACGCCCACTCAGTCACACTGTTCACCGCATCATGACGGCAAAGAACTCACCTCAACACAACATGCGCGCTACCCTGACCCATCAACAACAGAACAATAACACACAGTCTTCAACCGCCTTGGCCGTCAGGACGGGCATGGTGGAAACATACAACAACATGGCCCCCGAACAGCAACCACAACAACAACAACTTCAGCAACGATCTTTCACCGTTCAAGATCCTCAACCATACTACACACAGCTCTCCGCCGTTGGCCAACACCAATATCCATCGCCAGTCATGAACCAGACTACCTGGTCCTCGCCACAGTCCATATCTACAGATGAATTTGACAACTATTCATACCGCGGCCAGGGAGTCCTGTCGGCATACAACCCAGCCTCTCTCTCACCGAGAAGCTGGCCCTCATCAAACCAGACTCCCCCGCCAGTGCAAGCCTCTCAGTACGAGTTGCCCATTCGTTCTCAGGAACCAGCCTTTGGACTTGCCAACGACCACTTGACAATGTCGCCAGAGACTTTGCGCGGAACAGATTTGAACGTCTCCCTTCACTACAGTAACGGCGGCTACCCTCATGGCTTTGAGCAGCGCCATTTCGATCCCGAACCCTTGCAGCGAACCCTGGACAGCGATAGAGTTCACTACGCATCGTCGCCTGGTACCGACGCTCCTGGATCACCCTACGGCGGCTCTCCGACCTCGTTCCACGTTGGCGACTTGCCCGATGCCATCCCGGATCTCGCTGGCCAGAGCCCTCCTGCCAAGGCCAACCCCCAGCCAGATGCTGCCAACAACAACGGCGAGGGCCCGCCTTACGCCAAACTCATCCACAGAGCCCTCAAGAACGCACCGGACCACTCTATGACTCTGCAAGAGCTCTACAAGTGGTTCAGAGACAACACCAACAAGCCTCAGAGGACCGAGAAGAACGGGTGGCAGAACAGCATCCGCCACAACCTCAGCATGAACGACGTAAGTATCTTGCCTGTTCGCTCGCCCCACGTTACTCAAGTAGGATCATCATCTTACCCAGGAAGGCCCCATGCATGTTATGCTTGGATTCCACCCCCTGGCTAGTGAAGCATTTGCGTCTTGCATAACCCTAAACGACGAGCCTCTCTTTGTCCCCCACCTGAGCATAATGATCCTGTTCGCTAACACGGCAAATCTCATCTAGGCGTTCCAGAGAAGAGAGAAAGAGATTTTTACGCAACCAGACGGCCACACGTCTAACGAAAAGCGTGTGTCTGAGTGGTACCTCAACCCCAAGTACCTTGATGACATCCTGCCGACCACGCATTTCCGCGATGGCAACCGCGGCGGCACCTCGCGCAGTCTCCTTGGTCGCCGTGCCTGCAACGCCGCCGCTGCCAACGCCAACGCGCTCGGCGGCGGGCCCATGGGAATGGGAAGACGCAACAGCCCTCCCCGCTCTTCCACCATCACGCACTACCCGAACCCCGACTATCCCAACCGCTCCATGCCCGGCCGCGCCATGTCTGGACGCCGTGGAGGCCGGGCCACGACAAACTCCCGCAACGCAAGGCGCCAGCGATCCCAGACCGGGTCCATGAGCCCTGTCATGGCCTCGCAGCATCACCACCAGCACCACCACCATCAGCAGCAGCTCCCTCCTCACATGCAGATGCACGAGGAGATGATGAGACGGAGCCAGGTGGCCAACGAGCAGTGCTTCCAGCAACAGCAGCAGCGCGAGATCCAAGCTCGTGGCGGTCCTCTCAACCTCAGCCCCGTTTCTCCCGCAGGGACCGTCATCGTTGGCAGTGCGCCCGGCGGCGGCAACATTACGACTCCCACCAGCGCTCCGGGCTCATTCATGGCCGCGGCCCAGCCCTACCAGTTCCAGGGCTATGCTATGGCTGATGTCTCTGGAGTGTACAGCCCTTCGACACCCACT